TATGTATGTGTATGTATGTGTATGTATGTGTATGTATGTGTATGTATGTGTATGTATGTTGATGTATGTGTATGTATGTGTATGTATGTGTATGTATGTGTATGTATGTGTATGTATGTGTATGTATGTGTATGTATGTGTATGTATGTGTATGTATGTGTATGTATGTGTATGTATTGTATGTATGTGTATGTATGTGTATGTATGTGTATGTATGTGTATGTATGTGTATGTATGTGTATGTATGTGTATGTATGTGTATGTTATGTGTATGCTAATTATGTGTATGTATATGATTGTATGTATTGTTTTATGTTATATTGTATGTATTATGGGTGTATGTATGTGTATGTATGTGTATGTATGTGTATGTATGTGTATGTATGTGTATGTGTATGTGTATGTATTGTGTATGTATGTGTATGTGTATGTGTATGTATGTGTATGTGTATGTGTATGTATGTGTATGTGTATGTATGTGTATGTATATGTGTATGTATATGTGTGTGTATGTATATGTGTATGTATATGTATATGTGTATGTATGTGTATGTGTATGTGTATGTGTATGTATATGTGTATGTATGTGTATGTATGTGTATGTATGTGTATGTATATATATATATATATACATAGCCAGTTTTGCAACACTCCCAGAGACATTGGAAGAACTCCGGTGTCGGAAAATACCGCTTCGTCACCAGGCCCAGGGGCCTCGGAACAAAGGCATTGAACGAAGACGTTGCCGATCTGAAAGCCCTTCTTGTCTTCTTCCTGATGACAATGGGCCCTGAACTTGGAATTACTTGTAGATCAATGATGATCAATGGAGTTTGCTGGGATGATTGTGAAAATAGTTGTGGGATGTTATGGGTCATTCCCCCATTTCCTACTAAGCACCAGTAAGACTTGGAATAGCCTAGCTGAACCCAAAGAAACAATGCCCCATGTCTCATGTAACTTGGATTCATGTGGTTTTTATATGTTTTTATCCAATGTCATAAACCTACTCCATTTGGAGAAAAAGGAATGAATTTTGTGGTATTTATGGTTGTTATGGATCTTATTTGGTATGTCTATTGTGGTATGAAGCTTTCCTAAAATGGGGTGATCCCCAAATCATAATCAAATCATCCATTCTATTTTTTGATGTTTCATTATAAGGGATCCAGCTATTGAATTTTAGGAAACCTCCGCATCTCAAACAACATCCACGGCATCCCGGGTGCCTTGTTCTGCTGCGGCTGACCTGCCGCCTTAATCCCAATGGTCTGATAGACCTGGAAAATCAAGCCGTGGCTGGAAACAATCCCGAAACTAAATGGAGGTTTGAATAAGAAAGATCGCCTGAAAATAGGGGAAATCCACTACAAAATCCCAATGAACATTATATATATATACACATACAGCTGGTGCCCAATTCAGTAAGGCACAAAGCTTTGCCTTGCCACAAATGCGATTGCCTTGAAACCACTGGTTTTAAGCGAGGAGCTGCCCGTCCATTTTTGCGATTTTTGCAGGTTTGGGGAGCAGAGGCTCAAAGGAGTGGAGACGAGAGGAAAGGAAAAGGAGAGGTAGTTGAAAATCAGTGAAAATCAACGGGTTGGACCAACCTAACCAAAAAAACAGAAAGCAACTGCAAATGAGTCCCCACCCTCCGAATTCAAAATCACGGCCAGGGGTATGTGTATATATATATATTTATATGTTGATTTGTAAACTCCATGAATACTGCAGTTGGATTAAAATCATGGAAAGCAATAATCTACAAGTTGCTTTTAGACTGCATAGACATTTATAGACTATATTTATAATTTTCGGAAACATCCCTACCATAGTGGTTGGAGTTTTGAACCAACTTGGCTATTTCGTAAACGGGAGCCTCCGCGTTGTAAACCGGTGATTTGGATTATCACCACGTGGCTACCCCCACAATTCCAAACCACCAAACCCAAAGCACCAGTTTATCATTGATAATCATTGGTTGAGGCGGTTGAGGGTTTTGAAGTTGGAGACCTTCCGCCCCCAACAAAAAAGGCAGTAAGCAAGCTCGTAATTTTCAAGTAGGACTGATATGTGAAACAAACAAAGAAACCAACCAGCTGCGAGGAACGATTGTCATGAGGCGAACTGATCCTCGAGATGAACGGGAATGATTGGGAAAAGCAACCTGCAGTTGTTGGGATTCCACTAGTCTGCATGCGGATTGGAGAAACTATTTTGATTTGCCTCCGATGGGATCCTGTGAAACTGATATGCTTCGGCTGGAGCCTTTCAAATTGCATATTCTTCACTGCCAAGTGGCATTGTCATTGGCCAAGTCGTAAAAGCCTCGTTTGGCCTTAGCTGATCTTAGTTGCACAGCTGATCTCCAAGGAGGCATGCTGTACGACTCGCCGATGATGGCTTGATTTTTTGGGGAGAGCTTGAGGAACACAGAATCTTGCCACTTAGTAAGAAAAATGTTGCAATGGTGCACCAGGGCCAATTTTCATCTATACCAACAAATAAACATGTCTTGCAGACAAGGTTTGCAGTGTGGCGAGATGTGACTATCAGAAATGAAGGATGTGTACTAGTGTACTCTCCCCAAAATCGCTGGGAAAACCCAAGTAAATGAAGGTGTTGATCGGAAAATTCTGGAACAGCTGGTGGATTTCCCACGCCATGTTTACCGGGCACCGAGCAGCCCGAACAGTACCAAGGAGGTTGTTGAACTGGAACTTGCTGACGGACCACAGATCCATCGTCACAAACTCAGGCCCAAGAAAGGCAATCTCAAGCAGAAATCAATGAAAAAGGCCAAGGTGAGAAGATGTTCACCAGCAAGAACTGAGGTAATTTGGCAAATTTGGCAGACTTAATATATATATATATATAAATAACGGTATATCTGTGTCCCACTGTTTCCTATGGTGACCATCAAATGGATGATATGAGTCAGCCCTAGGATGGTTTATTGCTTGCCGAATTTCAAGTCACAAACCCAAGGTGTCCAGCAGCCAATCTCATGGTTGATAACCTGGACCCTCCAAAAAAGGGCTATGGGTGTTTCCTTACGAAGTTCCCTATGTATACATATCCATGGCTATTGCCTGGGAAACCACCATGGTGATTTCTGGTTATCTGGTTGCTTCGGGCTCAAGGAATAACAAAGGTATCGATAAAAAAACCTTCGACAGAGTCGAGGTGGCGCCGAGCACGGGCCCATGGGCGCCCCACGTGGTTCTGCATCTGCTTGTAACCTTGGCTGCCAAAATCAGCGATGGAAATGGCTACATATGAATTGTGTGGGGTGATTTGAGCATAAGACACGGGATTCAGTCACAACAAATATAATATGGATTTGAAAAGACAAAAATAAATACATAAATACACACATATATATATAATATAATAATAGGTTTGACGGTTTGACCAAAAGAATTGCACATAAAAACCGAGCCAATAAAAATGAGTGTATAAACAAAGCACAAGAGGGGATCAGGCACCCATACCCAATTTGACCATCGGAAGATGGAGGGATGAATGTTCAGCTGAAATTCAGCTAAACTAAGGCCAAACTGATCTATTTAAACTGTAAACTATGATAACATGTTGATTCACCAGGGTAACAGGGTGCACTAGCCCAATGTTACAATTAATGTAGCCTATGCGTCAAAACGCCCAAATGCGCCACAACTGACAACAGTGTCAACAGAAGATTTGCCCAAGTACGTATCGGTCAAGTTCATCCTTGGACCCTGGATGGTCGTTTGAGGTTCCAATGAGAGGGCGGGAGTGTAGGTCTGAAATTATCCTGTCACAGGTCACAATGGTTGGGTTAACCTGCTTATCATGACTTGAACAAATTTGGGGCGGTCTAACAAAATAATAAATATGCATGTACGAACAACAACATACCATAGAGATATGTGCAAACTTTAGTCTAGGTCTAAAGTATTTCAGATAAACAATCCATCATGTTTATATGGTTGTTGGACCAACAGTGTATTCTCCTTGCTTTAAACCGCGTGCCAAAGAGAACCAGCCACGTGGCTCCCCACCAAAAAAACAGAACAGTGAACGCCTATTAAAACAGGTAAATTATGTGCGTTCACACCTTCCTAGAGGCTACTGAATGTTACTTAGGGTCAAAACATATCACACCAAGTTCTAGGTCCACCAAGTGATCTGCCCAGCAACTGAAGGTATGTTCCTTGCTGTAGACCTGTTCCATACCTGGCGATTTTGGATCAAATCACTGGATCTGAGCTGTTCCCGTCTGTTCTGACAACCCCAATCCTTTTGCACAAGTTTACCATCCAACGAACATGTGCATAACTATTTGCAGGTACGGTAATGATATGTATTCTACTGTACTGTAATTAATGTCATGTAAACTCATGCAATATATGCAATTACACACACATAGTAGCATGCTGTCAAATTTTTCTCTAACATAAACGTCCCGATAAGTGTGAATACTTAATTGATGGGATGGGAACCAAACATAGATTGACTATTGTTGCCAAGCCACTAAAACTCTGGAGAGACATGGAGGATCATCATCAACTAGTGGTTTCAAAGTTGGCTTGACACATTCATCATATACTTCATGTTAGGCATATGTAGGCATAACCAATACAGTAACTCATATGATGAATCATATCAATTCACCATCTAAAATCATGGCGGCGTGGGTCCAGCGTCCAACCAGCCTTACCAACCCAAGCAACGCCAGCCCCCGACCCGGTGAACTCAGTTCCCAACGTTTGAACTTCTTCCGGATGTTAGGCCTATCCGCATCCGCGAGCATCTACTCATTTCACACCAAACATGGGATTCCCAAATCTGAATAAAAACACCAATGGCATCCCATGTTTGGATCATTTTGGGGATTTTTAGGGGCAGCTTTGCTTCCAACAAGTAGCCATTCTGCTAAAACTGGCCAGACTCGGTCCCATGCCGCGCCTCACTTTGTAGCCCCTGGTGTACCTGGGCAAAACTCAATTGACACGTTTACTAAACTTATAACACCAGTTCTGCACTTTGTTGCGGTTAAATTATATACTATCTATATATCTATCTATCTGTCTATCTATCTATCTATTTATCTATTTATCTATCTATCTATCTATCTATCCATCTATCTCTCTATCTCTCTATCTATCTATCTATCGATCTATCTATCCATCTATCTATCTATCTATCTATATATATATATATATCTATATTTTCCATTCCATGTTATTCTATGCTGTGCTTGTTTTTAAGTCTTTCAAATATATCAAATCTATATAATATATCTGATCTATCTAATCTATCTATATAATCTATATAATCTATCTATCTATCTATCTATCTATCTATCTATCTATCTATCCACTACCGTAGCTATCGTATCTGTCCTATCTATCCTATCTATCTATCTATCTATCTAGTCTAATCTAATTTAACCTGATCTATATATAACTATCTTTTCCTAGTCAATTATTTCCAATCTATCTAAACTTTCAAATCTATCTATTCGATCTAATCCAAATTATCCATCTTTTCTATCTTATACTGTTTAACCTATATATCCTACCTATCGTGTCTATCTAATCTATCTTATCTGATCTAATCTAATCTATTCAAATCTAATCTAATCTAATCTTTCTATAGTTTTATCTAGTATATCAATCTATCTATATATAAATATATATCTATATATATATATAGATAGATAGATCGATCTATCTGTCTGTCTAGCTATCTATCTATCGATCTATCTATTTAGCTATCTATATTTCTATCTATATAGCGGCTATATAACTATCTAAATAACACATATATTGTCTGTATTGTATCTATCTTATCTATCTTATCTATGTTATATATCATATATATATATATTATCTATCTCATCTACCGTATCCATCTTATTCATCCTATTCATCTAATGTATCCTAGCTACCTTATGTATCCTATCTATCTTATCTATCCTATTTATTCCATTTCTCCTATCTATCCTATCTATCTAATCTATCTAATCTATCGTACCTATCGTATCAATATTATCTATCTTATCTATCCTATATATCTTCTCTATCTTGTCTTTTATCTATCGTATCTATCTTATCCATCTTATCCATCTTATCTATCGGATCTATCTAATCTATCTAATCTATCTAATCTAACTAATCTATCTAATATACCTAATCTATCTAATTTATCTAATCTATCTAATCTATCTAATCTATCTAATCTATCTAATATACCTAATCTATCTAATTTATCTAATCTATCTATTCTATCTAATCTATCTAATCTATCTAATATACCTAATCTATCTAATTTATCTAATCTATCTAATCTATCTAATCTATCTAATCTAACTAATCTATCTAATATACCTAATCTTTCTAATTTATCTAATCTATCTAATCTATCTAATCTATCTAATCTATCTAATATACCTAATCTATCTAATTTATCTAATCTATCTATTCTATCTAATCTATCTAATCTACTATCTATCTATCTGTCTATCTTTCTATCTATTTAATTAATCTAATCTAATCTAATTACCTAATCTAATCAAATCAAATCAAAACTAATCTAATCTATCTATCTACAATGATCCAAAACACTGGAAACAACGCATCTCCTCTTATATCATTCTTATCTTTCTTTTTTTTTCCCTCCATTTTGTTGGAATCCCCGTATCCGTATGAACATATTTACGGGACTCGCTGGCGGCATAATTTGTCAACAGCATGGAAATAGCAAACACATGCATAATCATATATATATATATATAAATCCATTAAACAAATACAGTAAAGCCATCTGCCTGAAGGCTCTTTGGGACTTCTGTCACTTTGCAAAGAGAAGAGCCTGACAGCTTTATGCCACAGCAAGGTGCTGGAAGGTGCCATGCAATCGATTCTTGAACTGGTCAAACCTGGGCTGCGATTCAGCGCCCTGACCTCCAATAATGATCAGGGGTTGCTCCCAACATATCCCAACACCCAAACATACCCAAACAGAAGGGTGGGAAAATTGCCTACATATAAAGGCAAACTGAGCGATTTTCCCCTCATGTCGTGATAAATTACCTATGACTAATGGGTCGGAGCAACCCTGAAATTGGGGCTGATTAGACAAAGGAACCCAATTGACATCGGTAAACTGCGTGGCATGCATGGCTAGGTGCCTAAACCATGGAATACACTGGATAAGAATCACTTATGGTTGTAATGACCACTTCTTCTGCACTGAGACGCGCACCGAAGTAGTATGGCAAATCTGAGGTAGATCAAAAAAATGTCGAATTGTGGTGAATTTGAACTTGGATGTAAAGTACTCCACAATTTACCAAAAAACAATGAAAAACGTGCCATTAACACACTGCCCGGATCAAGGTTTCTCCAGCAAGACCTCCCAAAATCCATCTTTCAAACAATTCATCTACAGCAAAGCAGGTGTACACATGGTACATCTACCTGACATCAGACTTCACACCAGACTCCGCAAAGAAAACATTTCCATCCAGCTGGGTGAAAGTCGGGACAACATATCCAGGGATCTTCCCAGAGGAACCCATCCATATCGACCCAAGCAACTTGCTTCCGGTTTCAGACCTGGGGATTCGCTGTGAACTGCACCAGTCATGGGATCCACGGAACTCATGGCCATTCCTTGTCTTAGTTGCCCTACACATTCATATCAGCCGCGTTTCAATGGGACAACACTGGCAAACAAACCAACCAAAAGTATAGCGGAGCAAGGGTCAATGATTCTTATCATCAAGTTCAAGTTCAAGTTCAAGTGTCAAATTGTGAGTTTCAAACAGTTTTGATCAAACAACATGTTTGGTAGGAAAGTAGGCTTTTAGGCATCATTCACAAAACCCTAGAAACCCCTACTGTACCGGCAACTGAGCTGGAAAAATGATGACCAATGCCTTTATATATACATATATATACACATAATTGAATCTCAACTGCACCAGTATTGTTCCAACCATCTTCCAACGATCTTCTTCCACCAATGAAGCAAACAAATTGCAGGTACAATTGGCTCACAACTAGCCAATGATCACCTACGATCTTATTCCACTAGTGTCCCGTGATGTTTTCCAAACTGTCATATTTTATGGAACTGCAACCTGCCGGATGAGACCGTGGTTGAACAGCTGATGTTTCCAAAGGTCTAGAGGCACCATGCATCCTTCCAAAATCTTCCAAATCAATCCAAATTTCATCAAATTTAACCGTTTTTTTTTTTCTCTCTCTCTCTCTCTCTCTTTCTGGCCATCTCTAGTTTTGGCAAGCAGCACTGCGATAAAGACCTCCCAGTCGTGTTGTGTCACATTCTCCAGGGCACAAAGCCCAAAGTGGTACCTATGGAGAAAGCAGGACTTGGGCGTGCAGGATGACCCACTAGTCTCCGCCTTGTATGTTCAAATGTACATTTACATCTGCAAAGAAAACGCGTATAAATAAATAAATAGATATGTATATATATATATATATATACATACGCGTCAGCTTTGTACATTTGTGTTAAATGTACATGTACACACATATTTAAACACATGTATACTTACATAAATATACATAAATGATAAATGTATGTATATAGAAATATATGTATATTTATGAAATTTAAACATATGTGACTTTAACTCGCTGTGGGGTGTCAATGTGTCTGTCCGTGGGCATCAAACAATCAAATGAATGTGGGTTTCCTGTCCGGTAAAAACACAAATCAAAAAATACACAGTAGTGGATCTCTTCATGACGTCTGTTCCGGGTGGCAAGCAAACCAAACATAACCAAACCAGCCTGGCTAATATCTTCCAATGTAATTATACATACATGATCATACATGTATACATATGTTTGTGATCAGCCAAGGAAAAAAACGCTAAAAATAGCGCAAGCAACCCCACTGGACAAAACCAAACTAAACGATGGAAACATCACAACATGACGTAAAACACATCAGTATGCAACACACACACACATATATGTATATATATATATATACATGATCGTATAGCTATGGGTCAAGCTGGCAGCACCCAGTAGTTCACAACAAAACAGGTCTTACCTCATCTCATCACATCTAATCTCCAAATACCATCTGGTAATCAAACATGGAGTTGGCGTGCTGGAAAATCTGCCATTTAGCTTGGTGCTCTTGCTATTAAAATGCTCATTTAACTTCGGTGATTTCCAGCAAACCATATCTGATTATATACCGAACGGTATTAAGCAGCATTCCATTATTTCACCGGAGGAAGTTTAGAAGTCAAACTTCCGACAAATGGACAGATGAAAAGCAGAGGTGAGGTGGGAAGAGTCAGAGAAGAGAAGAGAAGAAGAAAGAAGATCAGGGAAGACAAAGAGTCCGAAGACAGAAGATGCAGGTGCGCGAGAAGGTAGCAAAGTCGCGCAACACTGCGTTTTTCCAATGATTTGTGGCCTCAGAGGGGTGAAAAGTAAGCTCGCTAAAGCGGCGGGTGCGGAGCCATGTGGTCAGATGAGAGATTAAAAGTTGCGCGCCGTTGTGGCGCGAAGCACATTTACTTGCAAGTGAAAAAGCTAAAAACACCTCACGTTCGGAATTGAGATGTCGAAAAAGTGCACGCCGTTGTGGCGCGAAGCACATTTCAAAGTCAAAAGTGTTAGAAACTGACGGTCTCGGAGCAATTCTGGAAGTTGAGATGTCGAAAAAGTGTACGCCGTTGTGGCGCGAAGCAGATTTCGAAGTCAAGAGTCAAAAATGTTAAAAACTGACGGGTTCGGAGCACTTTTGGACGTTCAGATGTCGTTTTGCGTGGCAGGCACAAGGGATTGGGCACCTTGTCAAAAATGAGCAAAACGTGAGGGTTTTGTAGCATTTCCATGCATTTCCAAAAACGATGGCAGGCGTGGGACATTTCCAGAGGATCTGCAAAGATGCATTCCGCGTGGCACGCGCAGTACAAAAGATATGTTCATCAGAGATGTTAGGAGCTTAGGGCGCTGATTTCCTGAGAAGGGTTGCATTTTGGAGCATCAGATGTGTAGGTTTGATGAGATGATTTTGCGTGACAGGTGCAGCACTTCGTATGACCTGGCATCAATTTTTCGTGGCAGGCGTAGTACTTTAGACAGGTGGAGTGGAAAAATCGCAAAACCGATTGGTACGAGGCCATCAGCCATGCACTCAACTTTCCATTTTTGAAGGACGTCTCGCTGAATTGCTTCGTTTTTGATGTCGCCATGAGGAAGTATCGCAGAAGTGCTTCGTTTTTGATGTTGCCAACTTCGAAAACTGAGGAAGTCTCGCAGAATAGCTTCGTGTTTGATGTTGCCAACTTCGAAAATTGAGGAGGTCTCGCAGAATAGCTTCGTTTTTGATGTTGCCAACTTCAAAAATTAAGAAACTCTCGCAGAATTGCTTCCTTTTCAAGCTTGCAGATTGCAGATAGATAGATAGATAGATAGATACATAGACAACTACAACTACAACTACCACCTCCACTACGCTACACTACTGCTACAACTACACATGCAAATAAACTACGCTACATTACGCTACACTAATTACACTACACTACACTACACTACACTACACTAGACTAGACTACACTACACTAATTACATCTAATTACACTACACTACACTGCACTAATTACACTGCAGCACACTACAACGACAAATACACATGCAACTACAACTACGCTACAATACATTACACTACGCTACACTAATTACATGTACATTACTACAACATTTCACTGCGTTGCACAACACGACCTTACACTAATTACACTACACCACAGTACAGCTACAACTACACTACCTTACACTACACTAGACTACACTGAATAGACTACACGAGACTACACTAGACTACACTACACTATACCACACTACAGTACACAACACTACAGTACACTACAATACACTACAACTCCAACTACAACTGCACTACACCACACTACATCCAGCTGTTGTGGGTGAGGTGACCACTGCAACCATTGCAACCGCTCCAAAAAACACAACTTCAACCACCTTTCGGTCCATTAGTGGATTCGCTCTGCCATCCGTGATTCAAAACAACCAACCTCTCCTATAGGCTTCCTATTTTTGAGACTTCCGCAACCGCCTTGTGCGGTACTACTGGTATAACATTAAAAACCAATATCTAAATTTGTTTGCTCCTGTAGCGCCAACACACATGTTTCATGTTTGTATCACCATTGTTCATAGTTAAGTCAGCATTTTTCATGAAATCCCCATGTTTCACCGTTTAAATTTTAGATCATCCATGTTGTATGGTGAAATCGCAATTTTGCATGGTAAAATATTATGTTTTTTCATTGTAAACTCGTATGTTTTCATGTTTCACCGTTAAATCACCATTTTATCATGGTAAAATCACACTTTTTCCCGGTCAAGGTCCAGCATGTTGGTGGCCCGTCATGGTGCGTCCGCTTGGGCACTTCCAGGTCCGTTGGACCTTTGCGGGATCGGGTCCCAAAGAGTTGATGTACTGCTTCTTGGCCTCGAAGCAGATGGCTTCATGGGATGGTTTTCTGATTGTTTGATGGGATTGCTTTATTGGATTGATGAGTGAAAGGGGTGTTTTAATATGTTCAATGGGATTTGAAGGTGGTTTTAGTGGGATTTTAAAAGGATTTGATAGGGACATGGTGGTTAATAATGATAAATCATCGATAATAATGATATTTAATGGGATATCCAAATTACTATATCGTTGACGTGGAGTTGGTGTGATAGATAGTATTGAAGAAGTTGAATTCGCAAACTTCCGATTTACGGACGAAAATCTATGGTATGTATGGGGACAGAATGGGAGGCCCAAATAAAAGCCTATTAAATACCATTGGAATCAAAAAAACAAATATGAAAATCTCATGAAAACCCCAGAAAAAATACAAGTAAATTCCATTGAAACCCAATGACAGTAAACCCATTAAGGCCTGTTTTAATCTCTTTCGCATCCCAGTAAAGTTACCACTAAAATTGCACTAAAATCTCAGTAAACCATCATTCAAATCACGTTAAATCCAATCAGAAGCACATTAAAACAATCCCACTACCGTTTAAAATCCCACTAAAACCATCTAAAACCCATGAAATCACCATGAACATCCCATTCAAAGCCTATGGTGTTTGTGGCCTGCTGCTGCATCTCTTGCAGCTTCTGTTGGTCCACCAAGGCAGGGACCACCTGCCGCGAGCAGCGGGAATTTTTGTGCTGGGCTTTAAACAAGTTAACCAGGGAAAATGATGACTTAACTAGCAAAAAGATGCAAAAAGCAGGACACCTTTGTTTTTACTATTGACATCTATTAACAATGGTGGTGTCCATAGAGTCCATTGGTTTCCTGCTTAAGAAAAGTTCATTCAATTCCTGGAATCATATGGGGGGTATTAAGCCTTAATCTTAGCCATTCAACATCAGTCATCGAAGTTTAATGTAATGTGTAACAGTTTGAAGTTCATTGGATTTATGGTCAGACTGTCAGACTTCTTTGAACACTGTGAAAAGAGAGATGTCGCATCCCTATGCATATGCATCCCTATATTACCAATCACATGGGTATTGGCTACAGTACGAATGATGGGTCATTTCATGCAATTGAACTGTAATTGCGTGATATTGGAGATGCCGGAATGGAAAGGGGAAGGGGGTGGGCATGAATATTCAATGGGGCTGGCTTTGTTAGGAAAAATCTTAGCTGGAAACCATGCTTCCTTATTCCCGAAAAAATGATGGATTCCTGTCTTTTTCCCTTCAACTAATTCTGCGGGTGTAGCATGAATTTGACCGGCCACGAATAGAAATGTGACCCGCACGCATTATCAACTCAACTGCAAAAATTGAAAACATACTTGCAAATTCACCATTGTCATCAAACTTATGTACTTATTTACAAACAACGGATTCAAACATCAAATACTTGATAGAACTACAACTTGCAATCATATAGTGATTGATGATCGGCGGTTGCGCTAGAGCGGAACAGTAGAACCAAGAAACGCAAAAACTGACTCCTCATGAAGGGTGGTTCAACAGATATGATTTGGCCTCCAATACTTAAAACAGGTGGGAAAGGAAGTGCGAAGTGACATTGTCAGGTTCGCTGTTTCGGCTCAACTATTGCCATTGTCAATTTGAGTTACAGTAATACAATATAACTATATAACTATCCCAGTCAGAGATGGAACCTCAGCAAAACCAACAGGTAAACCAGGCTAACTGCGTGGGTAATTCAATTGCAAAAAAAATGCAGCCTGTACCTGTTTGTTTTGGGCAGCACTCCAGGTGCATTTTGCTTCCTGCATTTGTACGGTGCTTGTGTTGCAGTCCAAACAAAGGCTCGTAGCACAAGTCTAGAATAATGGTCAATAATATAATCACAAGTTCATACTTTTCACACACACCCATACCCACCACACACACACACACATTACGCATCTAAAATCAGGACGATTGAATGGATACAGTACGACAGTGGGCTAAGGGGGCCACTGCTCCACCCCCCAAAACGGCCTCTCGTTCGGACATCTTGGGAAATTTGTCATCTTCCCAGTCCATGGGATCTCGCTCCTGGAGAGGGGCTGCGCGCGGGATTGCTGCGGATTTTACCATCCACCAACATATTTCCCCCAAAAGGCCCAAAAGGAATAGATCCAGTACTAAAACATGGGTGTCTAGTGAGGTATTGTTGGGTTTATACTGGGGAGGTGGTGATTTATTAGTGTAGTTGATCACGTTCTTTGACTTATTTGCCGTCCAAAAGTGTGTGAAGAATGACTCTTTATGGGTGGGAATGATTCTTTAGCTGCACACCACCAGACAATCCAGTTCACAACTTCAAGAGGCTGAGAGTTGTAGCTCAAACATATTCAAAAAAATATCATCAGCTTTCATATGCCTTTATCAGCTATTTGCATTCCGCATCATTCCGCCATAAGATCTAAAGTAATCCAAAAGTGTCCCTACGATTGATCTTCAAGTGGTCCTTCTTCTTCTTTTTCTTCTCGTCATCCTGCTGGACGAAGCCGGCAACTTGAGGAACCAACTCGGACTCGAACGATTGGACTGTCTTCGTGTACATTGTGTACATGCTGTTTGTTATTCCACGGTGCGTCCGGACCGGGGAACCTCCAAGTCGCATAGGTGTGGAGTTTGACACCCATTAAACAGCTAAAAATGATGCAAAAATCCATGCGTCTGATGCACTGGCCTCTTCGTCATCACCATGCTTGGACTTTTTGGATTTTTTGGCTTCGGTGCTTCTGGTTGTCATAACCCTGGGCTGATGCAAAGAGATTTCATGGGATTTCCAAAGTGCGGCCTGCCAGAATCGGCCCAAAGATGCCAACATCCAAGATCCAAAGACCGTATGCGGCTATACCAAGCCGCAAACTCTCCGCGAAACATTGCAAAACCACATAAAACCACCATGATTCCATGATACCCGGTATCTATCCCTCTGCCTGGCATTGCCTGCGGTATCGCCTTTGGCGATTCACAGCTGCAAGGGACCAAGTGGCGTGGTGTGAATGGCGCTCTGTTTCTTCGTCAGTGCTGACTTCCTGAGATGTATTCTGTCGTGACTGTGCGACACTGGCTCAGACTGCATAAAAAAATGGAAAAGCATGGAAAAGCTAATGCTTTTCCAATGCTTCTTCTCAAGTTGCAAGTGGGCTTGCGCATATCTTATTTTTGCTGTCTCGTATGACTCGTATTGATAAGATTCCTTGGAACGGCGGCAATTTCACATGCCAGGCATGACTCATGCAAGGTCAAACTTTCTTCCTCCATGACACAGATCCATGCATACGTAGGTCTTCTGAAAAGAGTACTCTTCAACAATGTACAAACAAAAAGAATCAAACTCACCTTGATGACATTTGATTACATGATTTCTTCATTCTTCTGCTGTGAAGTCCATCCGGTGTTCCCATCTCGAAAACCGTCCCACTGCAGGGGCCCAACCACTCCCTTCTCGAAATTGAGGCTGCGTTCCACTTCTGGCCGGGATTGAAGTTGCGAAGTGGCACCTTGAGTCGTGATATCCCTTCAGTCGGTAGTCGGTAGGCCTGAAGATCTAATTTTGGCAGTTGCATGTGCCAGCAATAGATTTGATATAATATAGACGACGTACAGTAGATACTGTACAAACGTATGCATGGATAACCTGTCACATGCATGATAAATCCGGATGAGACACTGTCATGTTCAAGAAAAAATGACTTGCTGCTCTGAGTGATAAGCATGAAACGAGTTTCAAGCCATCGTACACCGTACTTCTTCGGATTCTACGAAGAAAAGTGGGACTTAACAGCGTTGACATGATTAAATTCTCAATGTTGTTCCTTGACAAGATAATTATCAAACAACGGAAGAGTACCTGTACCTGGATTTTCCTCTGGTTTTGGGGGAGGCCCCCCGTGGAAGCTTTGATTGAAAAAGTATGAACAAGTTGTCATTCAAGCCTGGGTTCCATGGTGGATCTATATGTTGGAACTTGAAGTCAAAGGAAGTTAAAATCAATCGACGTATGCTGTAGATTTCCTGGGTCTTGGGTCTCTACATGTTCCTACCCAGAGCGGATCCGGTTGATGTCTGTTTGGCGGTTTGAACCCATACCCCACAATGAACAAGTTTATATAAACTACCAGGCTGGTATTTCCCACAAATTATGAACATGTTTCTTATTACTTGTTCTTCAATTGGGCAAACATATTCACTATTGAAAGTTTTCAGGTTATAGACCAACGAATCACCATCGCAAGCTCTTTGTTGGCATGAAGGCGCCGTTGAGGGTTGCTGGCTTGACGGCCGCAAACTGCGCGAAACAGGTTTCTCTCACGCGGCCAAAACCCTCGTGGCAAAAAGGACCCTCATGGCCTGGTAAGATTCTTGCCTTGTTCATTTGACAACCACGTCAACTCATGTCATTAGGTTGGTTAAACATGTGCAAAGGAAAATCTACACCGAAAACCATGCGGTGTTTTTTTCTTGGGGTAAAGGGTGGCAAATGTTATGTATTAAGTCTTTCTGCACGTTTTTCTTATATCCAATTCCGGATGAGAGTGAGAGCAAGTGGTGTTTACCAAATACTTGAACATCATTAAGCCAAAACATACAAACATATTTGAAGTATTTTAAAATAACATAGTTAAAGTAACATAGTCATGCAATGTCATGCAATGCCACACCTCTAAACTTCCGGGTCGTCCCTATGAGCCGTGACTTTTTCATGATCTTTCCTCCACGAGAACTCGAAATGGTCCAAGTTATCTTTTGAGTTCTATTTGTAAAGCCATTTCAATGTATTGAGTCTCTATTGAGTCTATTGAGTCTAATCTCCTGAACATAGAAGTCATGAACAAAGCAACCATGAAAATGCAACCTCAAATAGCTTCCGCCCCAACCTAGCAAACACAAATTCAAAAATGAATCATCAGTTTGGTTTCAGTGGATGTGCCCAACAATCTCACATAAGCTCCTACCAAAGCGCGTTTGTCTTCGAAGGGTTTTGCATCTTCAGGCCCCAGCCCTTGAAAACCTTGAAGCAGGCTGGGATCTGTTCCTGGTGGCTGTACAGCAAATAGTCGGAGGGAAAGCGACGCTCTGGAGACAGGCAGCCGTAAAGTGCGCTTGATCTCAAAACTCTGCCGCTGCTTTTGAATGGGCAATGGAACATAAAACATGTATTTATATGTATATTATATAAATAATATGTATTTGTAGTGCCCAAAAAGATTGCAAAGTGAATCACCATCTGCAACATTTACTGTTCGATCTTTTTGGGGACGACTCTCGTCATAGCGCGCTGGAAAGAACCCCCCTTTTTCGACACCTGGGATAAACATCCCAGCATTGCGTGCATTTTCAAGCATCCAAGTTCTGAAGAATTGACATCCTCATAGTCTGCAGGCAATTAGTTCTGAAATACATATTCGTATATGTTTGTAAATAATGCATAAACACGTATAAACTATATTTTTATATATTTTTAGCCGCTGAAATTCAAATAGCAATGAGTCACCAAAATTCAAATAGCAACTATAGCAATGAATAGCAACAGTATGCAACGTGTTTTTTCCTCGAACAGCCTCTGCACCAAAAACTAACATAGTTTGCTCAAACATGGATCCAAACATGCAAACAGGCTGAAACCGAGGCCCTTCTCGGATCCAGGCCGTTTTTTTCGCCACGCTGGCCAGCTGGGATGACTTCAAGTTATCGCAGATCGGTTACCGGGTGCCGCTAGGCTGCAGACATGAAATCAAGGCCATGTGAAAAATGCAACAACCTCCTCGCAAAAAGGGGCCCCACAGATGGTTTGCAAAATTGGATGCCTGGAAAGTTTGAGGGAAATATCATACATCACATCAACAATACTTTGGAAACACATGTCTATCCTTATCTTTTTGCAACCCGCTTACATCCAGTTGAGCTATGAAAAAATCACCCGTCCCATCGCGTTATACACGTTGGTAAATAGGTGCCATCGTGGGTCCTACTTATCATAATTATCACCAAAGAAAGCTTGCATAAATATATCATGTGGGCAGGAAAATCAATTTGTAGCTCAAACTTGAACCACCATGTTCATTTATTCCCATGTTTTGCTGCTTTTGAACCACCACTGGTACTCTTAGGAAGAACTTGGTCAGCAACAGGCTAGAATCCTGGAAATAGTTATTTTGCATTTTTTCTGCCATGTTTCTGTCATTTTGGCGTCATCTTTTGTCATTCCTACATTCTACCAGCCATTCAAATTTCTAGCATGAGATCAACAAATTCATTGAAACATTGCTGAATTCCAATGAACAAGTAAAGAAAACGAATCAAAAATTGAAGAGAATCAAAGAAAACAAATTGAAAAGTGAAGAAAATCAAAGAAAACAAATGAAAAGTGAAGAAAACCAGTGGACAATTGGAGAAAATCACGGAAAACAATTGAAAAGTAACAAAAACACAGTATATAAAATCATCAAAACGTGAAGGACGTCAATGAACAATTACAAAAAATGACAAACAAATGACAGGGACAAATGATAGGACAAAAAAAACGACAGAATCAAACGACAAAAAACAGCACTCCAAACGACAAAATAAATATGTTCATGTACTCCAGTCTGTGGCTGCAAGTGCCTTCTAATGGTACTCATGAAAAATTCCCTTTATATTCCCATTGAACCACCTCTTTTATGTATATTTCCCTAAAATCTCCACCACTCAACAGGTGCATCTGTTATGGCTTGGCCCAAGCGTGTCAAGTGCTCTCAGCTGCCGCAAGCACGCTCATCCTCCACCATCTCCACCGGAACTTGGACCTGGATCATCAGTGGGACACGGTGTCAGGTCGAACTGTTCGTTGTTTGGTGAATCTATGGTATTTAAGTGTGTTTAATCCTGATTAATGCGCCACTATATAGTTGGATACATATATACAGTATGTATATATATATATAGATACATGTGTAGACTTCCTGGATTTTAGATGATTACCACATCTTCCCATGAACTATCACAAACGACTGAATCTCAGCCGTTTTTGGTCATTTTCGGCTGGCGTTCTCGGGCATTGGCAACCAATGGCTTAACCTGGATAGCCTGATCTTGATCGATGCTTAAGCCACATTCACTCATCTGCTACCCACTTACAGTAAATATATATATATATATATGTATATTGCATATAAATCATTCCTCATGAATTACACACACGCATATATATGCAAAATTTTGTAGAATTATATAGAATTATATATATATATACCTGAGTCTTCCCCCCCTGTCTTTTTTTAGACCCTGGTCTTAGGGCCTGAAATTCTCAACCCCAAGAATTGTTTCAGACCCTGGGTTCAATTTCAGACCCTGGCTATTTGTGAATCTCATCCAAAATGGTGTTTGTTGATAGCAACTGAAATGGGGAACCAATCCCAGAGATGACCCAATGTGAGCTGGTTGGCCCAGAGCAACATGTCCAAGCAAGATGGTTTCATAGACCATGCCAAAAATGTCATATATAAGTCATATATACTTTCATGATCTTTCATGTTGGGGAATGTATCAAATCTGACCAGGAACAGTTCAATGAATGAATCAGACTCAATGATAACACATCTCATGTGGATCCAATATATGCTTGGAACTCTGGATTATGCACGGATGGCTGATGGCAACCGTGGTCTGTGCAACGGTCACCGCTGAGCCTTGCCTGAACTTTTTCACCATGGCAGGATTTGTTTGAACCATATCCAGAACTGAGCGCAGTTGGAAATCATCAGAGCATCCTAGCATACATTAGGTCTATCTAAAGTGAATCAAACTCCAAATATATATAGTATATCGGTGCTATGATTGAATGGTTCGCAGGCAGGATGCTCTAATGGAGCTACAACCCCCTAGCCTTCTTCAAACGACCGAGTAGGAACCTGGCCTTCACTTTGTAGGCCAACAAAGTTGACTCCATCACCTTAATGTACGAAACTCTCCTGCTCTGACGGGATACCCGTCCGATAAAGTCCTCTGACATCGAACAGCACCAGGCAGCTGGATTCAAGTACACTATTTGGCCATTGCAAGGTTCAAGATCCACTTTCACGTGGTCAAAAGGATGAAATTTTGGGACCATAGCAAACAGTTGCATATTCTGTCTCAATGCCGAAGCCGCAAGCTTTGCGTATGCTGTTGTGAAGCGCTGGCAATTCGCCATGAGTTTCTCCCGGCAACTATTCTTCAACCAAAGTCCATGCCTGTAAATCCCTTGAAATTTCAATCCATTGTCACACGCCCCCGCAATGAGCTTCAGATCGGAGTTTGCATCACCAGCACTAATCTTCAAGTTCGTAAAGAAACGCATCCATTTCAAAAGCAAGATGGTATCCGATGCTTTGCACCCGACCCATGGAAACGTTCCCATGGTGGGCATGTGGATCTTCTGCTTTGAAAACGAACGAATCCCACTGGGAGAGACACTGTGGGCAGCACACCACAGCATGAAATTCGCCCAAGCCCGGCCAAGGCGATCCTCAATCCCGTAAGGGGGTGCATCATCAAAGTACCCTCCAAAGCATAGGAGCACCAATGCCGATCCAATGAAATTTCGAGCAATGCCCAAACGGAAGATATGAAAGACATCCCGCTTGAAGAAGCGAGATGCTTCCCCTGAGGTCCAATCTTCAAATTGAATTGCCTCAAAAGGAGGCACTCTGTTCCAAGGAGCTTGCTGGCAAACTGTGGATCTCCAAACCGCCTGCAAAGACGAATCCTCGAATGGGACCCCTGGTCCACCTGCTAAGCAATCCGAGCAGCACGGGATGGGGTTCTTGTAGCCTACATTCATGTAGCTTCTGCTCAGTAGGCCGGTTTTCTGGCGGAACTCTTGATCGCCTTTCATACCCAGAATTGCAAAGTTGAAATGGTATGTGTTACCACCGTAGTTGCAATCCAAACCATTCTCGCACACCTCCCTCAAACTTTCGGACATCACCCGGAGCAACGATTGGAAAAGCCCTGGTGTCTTTTTGAATTTCTTCGAGGGGTAGGCAAAGACCAGAAAGTGAGTGGCATAACTTGTGTTTTTCAAATTCAACCGTTGTGCAAAAGGTGACCGTTTGCGCTTTCCGCTGTATGTATGAGAATTCTCACAAGAACATGTCATAGGCTGTTGCAACGTATCAAGGCCCAACACAGGACACATACTGACAACTTCCAAAGGCTGCTTCTTCTGAGTGCGACCGCCATCTCCATGCAAAGCTAGCGGAATTGTGCATTCCAGATTGACTTTGTTTTCTTCCGCCAATTGGTACACAGCGTGCGAACCATGTTCCCATCGGTAAGCTTTCCAAAAGCTAGACAGTAACTCCTTGTGCTCCCCTGGCTGAACACCACCTAGAAGCACCCAAGGGTATGCAGACAAGAGATGCTCCAGCATGTTTTTGGGCTTCAGAAACGGGACACTTGCAATGTCCCCGTTCTCCTCAAAGTGGTGGACGCTGTTTTGCACCCTCCTTGGGCAATGCTAGGAAACCGGGTTACACCGACTAACAGTAGGGCAAGAGAAACGAAACAACAAAACAAATGAAGCACCAGGCAAAAACATAAAGCCAGACAAAATTACCATTCAATCATAGCATCAGTGCAAAGCCGTGTCTTGCCACAGCACGTTTGTATGTTCTTGCAGCATTCTTTTTGGTGCTTTTCACCCCCCTGGTTGACAAATGTTTTGCCAACTCCGGTCGCCCCCCCAACTCCTGAACTAAGGCTTCATTGTGTTCTGCCAGTGATTGAGCTGGAGCCTTGGCAGAGAGTGGACAGGGCAGTCGTTGGCCATGTTGATGGTTGAAAAAAAACTTTACTTCGAGTGATCCCCACCATGACATTTATACATTTAAAAATAGCAAATCTTCTGGCATTCGATCTGGCATTCTATCTGGCATAGCTTCTGGCATTCTATCCGGCATATCTCATGGCATTTTATCTGGCATATCTTCTGGCATTCTATCTGGCATATCTTCTGGCACACTTTCTGCCAATCTATGTGGCATATCTTCTGGCATATCTTCTAACATTCTATCTGGCATAGCTTCTGGCATTCTATCTGGCATATCTCATGGCATTTTATCTGGCATATCTTCACTGGCATTCTATCTGACATATCTTCTAACACTCTATCTGGCATATCTTCTGGTATTCTATCTGGCATATCTTCTAGCATTCTATCTGACATTTTGTCTGGCATTCTCTCTGGCATACCTTCTGGCATTCTATCTGGCATATCTTCTAACATTCTATCTGGCATAGCTTCTGGCATTCTATCTGGCATATCTCATGGCATTTTATCTGGCATATCTTCTAGCATTCTATCTGACATATCTTCTAACACTCTATCTGGCATATCTTCTGGTATTCTATCTGGCCGTTTGAGGTCCAGCAGTGCACACTGAGCTGGGAAGGTCCCAGGTTGAGGTCCAGCGGTGCACACTGAGCTGGGAAGGTCCCAGGTTGAGGTCCAGCGGTGCACACTGAGCTGGGAAGGTCCCAGGTTGAGGTCCAGCGGTGCACACTGAGCTGGGAAGTTGGCAAAGAGCTTGGCGAAGAGAGTTGGCGAAGAGCTTGGCCAAGAATTGGCAAGGCGGAAGTACAGGTGGAAGTTGATGCAGACATGGTCGAGGAGAAACTGGAGGAGGAGGAGGACGAGGAGGAGGACAGCTAGCCGAGGAGGAGAACAACTCTGATAAAATCTAACAACCCTCACCTGGCAGGTGGGGAATAAGTCGAGAAACTCCATCAGCAATCTTTTCCACCAAATGTGACAGCAGTGGACCAGGGGCTTCTTTTGAAGTAGGCCGACCTGGCTGGTGTATTGAGTTTTCCTGTGCAAGGAAGTATGTCAGTAATGTTTCCGCATTCTTTTTGGTAGTTATCATGCAGACTTTTTTTTCTCCCTCCATCGAAGCAAGCTCTCTCGGAACATGTGGCCAGCCGTTGCCCCACAGAGCTAGTCACTCAATTGGATGTTCTCACCCAATTTTCACATCGTTTTGTAGATCTCACGAGGGTAGTTCCCTCATGAATCCCCAAGCTTTAGACCAAAAAGGCCAGCATTTCCCATGACAATTTTTTTTTGGAATTTCTCAAGTAAAAAATGGTTGAGTGGTCAAGTCAAAAACAGTCGGGAACCAACCCTAGATGTTCATCTTCTTCTGCCAGATGATCTAGGCTCTGCCTTCACTGTTCTCACTGGCGTTTCAGGATTGTCTGTGGATTCCTTGGATTCCTTCTCACGTTTTCTAAGCAGTGCTTTCACAGAGCTGACAAAGGGCCTCAGCCATATACATCTCTGTGGTTTTGATCAGCATGTGGATCGACGAAACTCAAATTGTTTGCCGGACGGTTGCTCGACTGAGGACGAAGCTGCGCTCGAGTCACCAAGTTCAGGGCATTGGCGCACCTTAAGGACAGAACGATGGAAGGGCTGAGAAGCAAAATCATTATATATATAATATATTTGAAATATTTGATTATAAATATATGCATATAATGTTACATACAGATTCAAAACATGTACTGATCCCTGATTGCTTTGAACCTTTTGTTGTGCAGCAGATTAGCTACAGCTTCATCCAAAACATTTCCCTGCATACCAGTTGCCAAATCTTTTAGCCAACTCTCTTGAACTGATCAGCCCTGCCCCCAGTCACATAGACATAGTAGGGAGGGGCCATTCTACTCATCCCACCCTCGCCCCCAGTGTTGGGAGCGTTTCTGCAGCCAACACAGTGGTGAAACTGTAGCACAAGAGATGCTTCTAGCATATGAATTAAGCCCAAATCATTGCTCGTGTGAACTATCCACATTGACGTGAAGTTCTTGGCTCTGTAATCCAAGAATCGTACAGCAGGGTCTGAAGTAACTCCTACCTTGAAGACACATATGTTCGAACCCATTGTCTTCCTGAAAAGTTCCACCTGTTTCGTTGCGTGTTGGAGAATCTTGCCACAGGTAGGACTAGAACCTTGAACAGGTAAAGGAAGACTTCTATCGTGAATGTCGCATTCTAGGCCATGTCCAACTGAAGGCTGAAGGTTTGAACTGAAGTTCACATTACCTGGAGTAGTGCCATGGACACCTTCATCCTTAGAAAGAAGTCCCAAGGCCAAATCTCAATCCTACTTTTTTGATACTTTTTGATGGAACACCAGCAACGAATGTGCCAGGATCAGTACTTTGAGTGGCCCCAACTCCCCAACAGCAGGACCGGGTTTGAAGCTAAACGTCGAAAAAACACAGCGTGACCTGTTGCACTAAGGGGTGCCAAGAAACCCTGCTTCGTTTTCGAGATCCATCATCAGTCTTTCCCAGGGCTGCGCTAACTGCACATCGTTGGTTCCCAGTCAAAGGACATGTGTAAGTGATAAGGTCCAAGAAGTCTTCCACAGGATCTGTATCCATGGATTGATGGACTGACAGCGGATCTAACACTGTATGAGGGATTCATCATCAATGAACTTGAGCCTATATATCCACAGTTGCCATTGGTATATGTTATATATATATATATATTGGATTTGGTAGGACCACCATGGCACCCGCAGCCATGCTAACAAGGCACTCTTCACGGGAGGTCTTGAAATGCTTCACCAAATCATCTTGCTGCCTCAGGAATTGGTTGCACCGGTGTGGCGTGCAACAGGATGGAAATGGACAAGGAGAGGGCTTGCGTGATCCACAACTAAACCGATTTGAAAGAGCTGTTGGTCATCATGAATGCAAACTAAAGACTCTTTCTTGAACCCATCAACGATTCCTGAGATGTTGATGCCCATGATTAGCTCCTCCTGGGTCTTCAAAGCCACGTCCAACTCAGTCGATCTTTTTGAAAGCCTCAGTGTGTGACACAACCCAATAGGAGTACATGATTAGAAGCACGGAATTGAACAACTTTGCAAGAGGAATTGTATTTAAGTCAGAAGGCTCTTTGTAGGAATCAGGTGCATCATCCAGTGATCAATGACTGCACCCAACTGATGCATCTTGACCCTCCACTTAGCGATGGATGCAAGAACTTTCTGGTTGACCGAACTTGGCAAAGCATCGTCATCCAAGATCGGAAACGCCAGGACCTTCAAGGCCTTTCGCTGGTCCTCCTCACCGTCAGCCTCCACGAGGATGGTGGGATCTGGCCAGGGAGAGAAAGTGGCCTGTGAAAGTTGATTTGTACATGCACCGGTCATGAGAAATATTAAAAATCAAACATAAAAGCAACAAGATACAGTACTATGGTAGCATCTATGTGAAGACATGTGTGAGCCATGGTCTCCTGTAGTATCTTCGGGTAAGTCAAACTCCTGGGGCAAGAGGTCCTGATTGAACTCGTCCTTGGCCTTCTTGAAATCATCTTCATCCATGCTCTCTTCCTCCTCCAAGACTTGACGCTTTCTTTTCCTCATTGAACGGTATGCATATATAACCATTCTGGGAGTGAATGACTTGCTTGACAATTCTCTTGGTTCAAAATCACATCTCAATCACAAGTTTCATGATAGCTTTAAATGTTGGTTTGCATGTCTATGTATACAGCTGAGTTGCAGGTTTTTGCCACCCAGCTTGGTCTCCACCCAATACAACTTCACGTGCTTCTCGTACCTGTCACGCCTGATGCAGGATGGGAAGCGCAAAGAAAGAGCGGTGCAAGATCAACATAAACATGGAAAGGCTGGACAGTTTCCATGGGTGCTAACTTGTATATTTTATATATATAACCTATAGCCAATAGATCTTCCATATGTATAACATCAATACCAATTAATTATTCTATTCTCGATCAACTGTAAATTGGGCAAGTGACCGGATCCAGCCCTTGCGCTTGGCACACTCAGCTTTGATTGCGTTGATGCGGGTCCTCATTTGGGTCATCAAAAATGAACCAATATGAACCAGAATCATGAGGTTGTTATATGCTGTCATTGGCAGGGGTAGTTCTTCCAGACTTCACAGTTATATGCATGCTAGCCACTCTTTGTACTCCTGCTCTATCAAGTCCTGTTCGCTCAAGAACTCCCCCTCAGCGTAGAGGTCCTGCTCATTGATGAACTCAATCTTCCTGCGGCACCTTCTGATGAAAGACTCCTGGCTGCAGCTGGAGACGTGACTCCGTGTTTTAACCCTGAAATTCCACCAAAGAGTATGCACATGGGATGCGTACATTATACAGTTATACAATGGAATTCAATGGATCAACATATAAACTCAGGCCTTACATGTGTCGGCAGCATTCCACATGGCCAGTACTTGTTCCCGACCACCGCCATGAAGATCCCCAAACTGATCCACAATTTCTTGTGGAACAAGCAAGGTACCATCAGCTCTAAGTGCAAGAAGTCGCCGGAGACGTTTCAACGACGGGGGTTCCGGAGTACTTCCCTGAATGCAGCAGGTAGAAAATGTTGAAGCCACTATGTAAGCCAATGACACAAAGAAGTTAAAGCGCTGAGCTATTCAGTTGGCCTATAGATTGATCTGGATCAAACAGGCCAGTATCAAAGTCACAATTCAAAATGTGCAACAAGATTTTCTTCAGTTCTGGTTTGGATTCCACGTACTCATTCTAGCAAACTAACAATCATTTTTGTCAAGGCACCTTTGGCTTAGGAGGTGTCGCACGCAACTCAGCAACCTCGCAACATGAAACATCAAGTTTTTTTTTGATACTCATGCTTGTGAACTGGTAGCCATGGTGTCTGCACCAAGGAGCTTGTTCCGGCGAAGGAGCTTCACGCTCAGGCGGACACGGTGCAGGATCCTGTCCCCCAAAAAGAAGGGACCATGCATACAGGGTTCAACCTAAGTGGCATGACAGTTTTTACACCTGTCCTCATTGAGCGCTGCTTGCAGAGTTTGCCACATATCAGCGCAGTCATCCGCAGTAGCTCCAACCTGGTCATGCACCAGGCTTAATTAATATATATCAAATGTGCATGCATGGATCCAAGTATAAGTTCTGTATATGTTCTGTTGGTACAGGTGACCATGACACTCACATATCAGAATGATCCCAAGCCTCATCAGCCTGATGAAAGAAACCATAGTCATAGGGGTCATCATGACAAAGTTCATGGTCTAACGATTCCATTGAATCATTGCCCACATCAGCTGAAACATCCTGCCGCTAACATGACTGGGCAAGAAACAGGATAGGGCTCATACATGTTGAATTCATATATATATATATATATGTATATATCTCATATATATATTGTATAATATAATATATATATATATATATATATAATATATATTATATATAATATATATATATATTATATATATATATATATTATATTATATATATATATTATATTATATATATATTATACAATATATATATATATATTATATATTATATATATTATATATATGATATATATATATAACATTTAATGGCAATGCCAAACATCAGGATCGATGCACTAAATTGCAACCTGTCCTGGTAGTCGTTTCTGGGTGGCTCCTCAGGCGCTCCAATCATCGCCACATGCTGCAGCATATCCTTGGGCAGATCATCAAAGGACATTGTTTTTTTTCAACAGGTGAATGTTTGACAAACCCAATTAATATATTTGATTTTTAGTTTTTCTTTTGACTTCCTCAATATCGATAACTCAAACATACATCGAGAGTTGTGGTACTGTAACTATATAGTCCCAGAAACGAGTGTTGCGTCATCAAACGCAGCAATGTCAGAACGCACAGGGGTAGCCACTGGACGGTGTGTTTCATCAAGTTGCTCTGCAAGACGTTGCTTCTTCAGCTCCTATGCAAACGAGATATAATTGCAGGTTAAAAAGGGGAGGCGCAGGGCCTAACAATTACGCACATGCACGCATGATATTTCAAATGCAAAGGCAATCCTGAAGCTTTGCAAGCTCTTCCGCAATCGCGGCATCAGAAGCCCTCAAAGGATCCATGCCAGTTTCCATCTTCACTAAGCTAATCCCCTCAACCAGAGTATCGGTTGAGAACACCCGGGAATTTAAGTCAGTAGGCATAGCCTGACAGCCTGAAAACCCCTGCAGCAGAGAACAAAATGACCATGCAACATTTCGACTTTGCATGCAACATTTCGACTTTTGCATGCAACATTTTTCATTTTTGATTTTGCATGCAAACTGTCAACATACCATGAGTTTGCCTGAAACTGCATCTTCAAAATCCACGACCGGAAATTTCCGGCCCGCACCCGGCAATTTCCGGCCCTGGTTTTTGGGACATGCATGCAAAAAATGAAAAAAACACTGTTTTGCATGCATAAGGTGCATGCCTGCAAATACCCCAAATGCCTGCAACTTGCATGCCTGCAACTTTCATGCCTGCAACTTGCATGCCTGCAACTTTCATGCCTGCAACTTGCATGCCTGCAACTTGCATGCCTGCAACTTTCATGCCTGCAACTTGCATGCCTGCAACTTTCATGCCTGCAACTTGCATGCCTGCAACTTGCATGCCTGCAACTTGCATGCCTGCAACTTGCATGTTTCATGTATGTGCATGCATGACAAATATTTTGCATGCAAAGGTTGCATGCAAGAATTTGCATGAAAAACAATCTTGCCTGCAACATGTTATATGTTCCAATTTGCATGCAATTCACTAATGTGCATGCATGCATACACGCTCAACATCCAGGACTTGATCGCCTCATTTGTGCTTCACTCGCGCCATGGTGGCAATTTAAAGCAGAGCTCAGGGATCTATATGGGAACCCCCAAAAGCTTTTCAATCGAATTTCAAATTGCGAATTTATATCATGTGCATGCTTGAATTTCAAATGGCAAATGCATTCCATTCCTATGGAATTGAAGTAGGAATGTAAGGCCTCCAGCCAGGAGGAATACACAGCTTCTTTGAGCCTCGTACGTATTTAATGACTCTCACTAAGTCAGCTTCAGCATCCCAGGCTCGGCATTCATCACTGAAATTCATGTTGGCAAATAGGTTCTGAAAGGAGTCCTGCTGCACCTGGCGAGGATGCATGCAAGACACAGTTTTTGATTTTGTAGTTCAAAATGTTCGAATTAACTGTCATGGTTGCAATGAAGTTGTTACGAGACCCTAGCTAACTCACAACAACCAGAACCAGTTTTGTCGGCTCTAGTCAAGCCCACCTGAATGGGAATTGGTTTGGTCTTGGTATCCTTGCGAATCTTCGGCACCAACTGCACTATCTTGGAAGCAAACTTATAGGTATACTGCCTGCAGCAAAGGTTTACCAAGACTTCAGGCCTATCAATTATAGATCACAGTTGGTATGTTCCTGCATGCATGCATATACCAAATTGCAAATGAGGTACTGGGAACGTTTCAAGTTGGAATTCCCCTTGAATTTGAGTTTGCCATTCTTGTCCCTGTAACGAGTTGTTGTTGCAGTGCACCCCTGACGTTCAGATGCAGTAAGCGACCCCAAATCAAGACTGCATATTTGACTGGAAATTGACCAAATCCAAGTCCTCTTGTATGACATAGCCTTGTACTTGCGCATCCAGAACGCAATCTTGTAGGTCTCAGTTGCTACAAACTACCACGGGTCCATACTTAAAATAACATTCCACTGGTATAATAGCAGAATGTTTAAAGAGATGCATGCATGCACACTGGTATAACATATAATAAGGTCCCATAATAACATCCCACTGGTATATAGTAAAGTATGCATGCATGCACATGTACACCCACCAGCTGAGGATCTGGAATGCCAAGCTCCTGCAGTCGCGCGCAGAACCACACATAGCGGGGATGGAGGGCAACCAGTGAGTTGACCGGGTTTTCCATCAAGTAGGTACCCCCAAGTGCCACTAGAAGCAACATGCACAATACACTCCTCCAGGGTTTGTTTGCATCATATATCATACTATTTTAGTAACGAATCCACAACAATTTCAGGAAACAATTCATGGCAAACCAAACCGGTTTAGCATAAGGTATCCTGGAAGTCAACTTGTTGCTTTTCCTCACTGCAAGAAAGTATTCATTGCCCAGGGGTGTCATGAAGCTTCTATCAGTGGACCCACGATTGACCGGTACCATGGATGAGCACACAACTGCCAACACTGCGACGGCAGCTTCGAACTCCGAGTGTAGTAGTAGGTGTATTGCCAATCTCAGATTGAAAGCACCATGATCTACAGAAACAATGGTTATACATGAAACAATTTGTCCCAGTGTATATAGCCTTTTGAGGGAAGTACAAACATGAAAGATTCTGCAATGCTGACTAGTCTCACTAGCCCGGAATCTGAATTGATGTCCATCGGTGACCGCTTGCCCTGTTTGTCGAATCGTTCACGGCCATATTCAACATCTAGAGCACATGACCTATACCCAACATATTTGGACATAGCTGCAATTCTGCCAACTCCAGCGTAGAACTCTAAGACTTGGTATTCATGGGTGGGTGGAAGTTCCAGGAAGCTCACTAGCAGAACCAGCAATAGCACTACCTGGGTCCGACTGTAAGGTGTCATGAACATTGAAAGGCTGATATTGGAAACTGAAACAGAATTGCCCAAAACAGTTCATGGGAAATTGTTGAAATAATTTATACATATACATGCATGGGGAGATAAAATCATAATTATATATATAGGGATCACGCAAGATCAAACCAAACCCATATGTGGTGATTCTGTACGGCATTCCCTGCAACCAGCAGTGCCCTCGCATTGCAAAGGTCAGCTCCCAGCCATGCAACTTTTGGAGTCTTCAAAGCCACCAACCGCTTGAAAAAGACTTCTAGCTGAGGCGGGGTCATGGCCAGTAGCGACAGCGAAGTTGTCAAACGGTTTGCACGTTCACTTCTTTTTTTGGTTGGTTACTTTTCAGTTCATATATATAATTATATGCCATCAGTTAAGCTATCATTGTTCCGTTTGTTCTCACAGCTGTTCCTGTTGATGATATGTTTCATATATAAGTCTTCATGCATCTTATGCCATCTCACGTCGTTGGTCACAGCCTAATGGCTAACTCTCAAGCCAAGATTCGAAACTGAGAAAAGATTGAAAAAGAGGTCACTGCTTCATTTTCAAAAGCTACTCAGATCACTGATGTGCAGGTGAATCATAATATAATATATTCGAAAAAATATAGATCGATATCGATATATCGCCGTTCTTGCTTGTTTCCACCCCAACCCATCCACATAAACTGGCTGGGAGTACAAGAAGCAGGCACCAGGTTTTCATCATCGGAGTCATCCAACTTCGCTAAGTTTGTGAAGCCTTTCCGAACACCATGCATAGACCTGGCACAGGGGCAGCAGACTGAGAAAGGGTTGTACCATGATGGACCCACTGGATCATAGAGGTGGAGGCCTAGAAAGTAATCCATGGTGTTGGTATGGGTTGAAACTTGAAGTGCATCATAAAATCTATACTAGCTGCTTGGAGTCAATCACTTGGTTCCTGAAAAACACTTCGAACCCCAGACGGAAAGTGTTCCTTTTTTGTCCGACTAGTCCGCAAGAGCTCAGTTACCCCCTGAAGCCCCAGATGGTACGCACAGCAAATTGCCACATGGTGTGCATCAACACCCTGGCATCGGCTTAATTTAAGCCTAGAAACTGAAGCTGCAAGATAGGCAGCACTTTGCAATAACCAATCAAAATACAGCTCTTGAAACCAGCGCATTTTCACTATATATAAACCAGACCGATTAATGCATGCATGCATTCAGGATTTATCACATGTTCTCTGTGTGATCACCTCATGAAACTTTTCAGTTCATCAACATCGACTACCGGCAGATCATCATCGCTCGCGACAAAGCCATTGTCACTCAGGTAAGGCTGAATCAGCTCAGAAACTGCTTTCAGCACCAGGTCAAAGCACATCTCATCCGAAGCATCATCAGGGATCTCGACCTTCTTCTCATCAAGCTTTTCCATGCAGTAAGCCCACCAGTCAGCCTTAGGTGATTTCAAGATGGACTCTCTAGTTTCTTAAATTCATGTTTTTTCAATGTTTTTTTTGAATGGTTGCATGCAATGCGTGTATAGATTCACCGATGAATTTATTTAACACATCTCATACTTGACATGCATTAATAGAAAACAAAAACAAAATTACTTTGCTTCGAGTGATCCCCACCATGACATTTATACATTTATAAAAATAGCAAATCTTCTGGCATTCGATCTGGCATTCTATCTGGCATAGCTTCTGGCATTCTATCCGGCATATCTCATGGCATTTTATCTGGCATATCTTCTGGCATTCTATCTGGCATATCTTCTGGCACACTTTCTGCCAATCTATGTGGCATATCTTCTGGCATATCTTCTAACATTCTATCTGGCATAGCTTCTGGCATTCTATCTGGCATATCTCATGGCATTTTATCTGGCATATCTTCTGGCATTCTATCTGACATATCTTCTAACACTCTATGTGGCATATCTTCTGGTATTCTATCTGGCATATCTTCTGGCATTCTATCTGACATTTTGTCTGGCATTCTCTCTGGCATTTCTTCTGGCATTCTATCTGGCATATCTTCGAACAGTCTATCTGGCATAGCTTCTGGCATTCTATCTGGCATATCTCATGGCATTTTATCTGGCATATCTTCTGGCATTCTATCTGACATATCTTCTAACACTCTATCTGGCATATCTTTCGGTATTCTATCTGGCCGTTGAGGTCCAGCAGTGCACACTGCGCTGGGAAGGTCCCAGGTTGAGGTCCAGCGGTGCACACTGAGCTGGGAAGGTCCCAGGTTGAGGTCCAGCGGTGCACACTGAGCTGGGAAGGTCCCAGGTTGAGGTCCAGCGGTGCACACTGAGCTGGGAAGTTGGCAAAGAGCTTGGCGAAGAGAGTTGGCGAAGAGCTTGGCCAAGAATTGGCAAGGCGGAAGTACAGGTGGAAGTTGATGCAGACATGGTCGAGGAGAAACTGGAGGAGGAGGAGGACGAGGAGGAGGACAGCTAGCCAAGGAGGAGAACAACTCTGATAAAATCTAACAACCCTCACCTGGCAGGTGGGGAAAAACAAAACTGAAACAGAGTCAGAGATGCTTCAACCTGCGAAGTTTGCAAGCCGTAGAACTGGGTCCATCGTCGCAGTTCGAAATGGAAGCAGCCCCTGATAACTTCCCACCGCTGCTTGCTCGGGGAATGCTTGGGACATGGTCTGCGAGCAAACGTTGCTGCTTGCTTCTGCGACTTGGCAGGCGGCTCCTCAATCTCCTTGGCTGGGATCTCTGCAGTCTCAACGGCCATCTCACACTCATCCTTCTCCTCCTTCACTTTTCTCTTCCCAGCTCCTTCATCTCTCTCTTCACTCTCAGCGTCCTGCAGCCAAGATAAGCACACACCAGGTTCAGAAAGACTTGGATCAAACAAGTATGATACCTTGTCTTTGAAGACTGGTCCCCAAACAATTGGTGGTTCTTTGGCACCGGTGTCCTGCTTATTCTCATCAGCTGTGCTGCCCGTAGCCGTAGACTCACCCTTGTCATTCTTTGTCTTCTTTGCTCTCTTCGCACGGACCTTGGGATTGGCCTTGACCTTGGCCTTGGGCTTCACTGCGGCTTTGGCTCTAGATCTTTTTTTGGAGACTGGTTCAGCTGGCTGCGGATGCTCTGGTTGTTGCTGCTGCTCTTCATCAGAATCAGGGACAAGCTCACCATCATTGTCACCATCTCCGTTTCCTCTCCCCCGCCCGCGACCCCGCCCTCGACCACGCCCACGTTGTGGTTTTGGCTTCTTTTCCCATTGGGTTCTTCTCAAAGTCACAGGCGGTTGGGCATCAAGATCTGCAGAACTATCACCATCCCCAACCTCAACAAGAGGGGGTGGCTTGAGATCACCCACAGTCTCCACATCGAGGTTGTCAGTGTCAGGCTTTGAAACCTTTTGTTGCTCACACTTCTCAACCTCCTTGTCCAACTCTTTCTCGAGATCCCCCTCAAGTTGTAGAAGACGATGGCCATGATCAGCACTTGCTTCCTTGGCTGCGCTGGGAGTTGCCTCACTTGTGTCAACCTCCTCATCCGTCTTGGTTGCCGAAGTTGGAGCTGGGTCTTGCACCTCCTCTTTCATTTCAATCTCGGAATCCGGCATGGCAGCAGTGTGAACTTCACTGCTTCCTTGACCAACACCCTTGGGAACTTCCAACGGGTCCTCCACAACGGCATGGAGTTTGGGTGAAGCGGGAGGCTCTTCATTCTTCACAGGTTCAGGTTGTGCAGGTTGATGATTCGAAAGTTCCAGTGGTGCAGGTTCACCTTCATGACCACCCTCCTTGTTCTTGTTGTCACCCCCCTCACAGGTAGCATCAGTAGTAACTCCTGCATTGGAAACATCCTGCGTGGCAATGGCTTGGTCAAGTTGTTCCATCAAGCGTTCCTCCAGGACTCTTTCCACTTTGTGATAGGAATTTTCCTCCAGCTCAGCTCGTCTCAATGGGGTCATTGGTGAAGAGTTGGTCTTGGAGTCCTCAATGACCACTGAGCCTGCCAGGGCTAAGATATGGTGAAGATGGTTGAAAGAAAAACAGGAAATTAAAACAAACAACTCCGTCGATCCAAGCAGACTCAAGTATGCATGCATTCATGCGTGACACTTTATATAGAAAACACTGGGCCTGGTGTCTCCACAGATGCACCGCGAAAGTCTGCAGAAAGAGATTTGCAAAGCTCAGGGGTCGCAGGGCTGTCAACTACTGTGGCAAAACTCTCGCGCGATAAAGACTTTGCAATGGGAGATGCATCAAAAGGAAGTGTGTCGCAATTGTCGGAAGCAGGACCAGCAGCAGCAGCAGCCCTCTCTGCCGCAATCCGCCTTGGATTAAACACTAACAGAAACAGAAACAAAGTTATATAATCACTAATTCTCTCATATTATTATCATACAGGGTGTGCAAAACAGTACATCATATCATATACCCGTAGGAAATTATGAAAGTAGTATATATCCCAACCCCCACAACGGCAGCACACTCCTGGATAAAGTAAGTTTTAACTGGTCAGCACCCAGGCACCTGAGCAAATTGATCCGTGCATCCAGCTCGTCGTCAGAGATGACAACAGTTGGGGTGTAGGCAGCCTTAGTCACCTTAGAATCCTTAGGCTTGACCCCGCACTCCTCCTTGATTTCACCCTTGGGTTCAACCTCAACCTTCTGTTCGACTTTGGGTTCGACTTCTTCCGGAGCTTCGGTAGAAGACGTCGCCCCCAACTCCAGGCCATCAAACGCTAAGTAAGGGTCAGAGCTCAAGAGGCTCTCACCCGGGACCTTCACAAACTCCTGTTCCTCTGGGGTAATCTCAGGCTCCACCTCTTCATCAAGTTCGACTTTGATCACTTCCATCACCCCGCTAAGATCATCTTCTTTGTCTTCATCAACATCATCATCAGGGATTTCAATCGGTTCAGTGGGTTCAATGGACAAAGACTCCACTGAGGAAGAAGGGGTAGCCTTGAGACGCCAGAACTTGAGCAACACCTCATAGAACTCATCCACAATGGGTACCTTTAGTGGAGTGGTTTGCCTCTCATGCCCCAACTGTTTAAACTATATTGCAAGGGTATAGGCTTCTCTTTCCAAGGTGTAATATATAATCATTGCATGCATATACATACATATATCAATGCAAAAAAATGCAAAAACATAATGTTGATCAGTTGAAGATTGGTCAAGGTGCTCGTCGCTGAGGGCTCACTTTATTCCCCTTACGTTCCTTGTCGAAGCCAGCCTTTTTGCACCCATAAGTGAACAGTTTTTTGAGAAACCACGCATCCTTCACCACAGCGTTGTCAACCTTGCATTGGCAAATTTGCTTCAAACCAGCAACCTTTCAGGGAAGAAAAGGTGTTGCCCAATGAGGCAGACCCAACAGAGCGATGCAACACACGTTCAAAAAATACCATTGATTGAAACATCCATGCAATAATTTATGTAGCACCGAGCCATAGCGCTGGCATACCATGTATATATCCTTTTAAAATAAATTCTTTGCACTTCTAAGCCTGCTCTTTGAGCACTTTGATGTTGGGACTCTTTGGTTTGGAAACCGTGGGGCACCACCACTTGGCCAAAATCTTCAGCAAGTAGATGTTCAAAGCGATTGCATCCATACTGATCGCCTTGTTCTTCGGGTCAGGCCAATGGATCAACTTGCCACCACCCACGACATTGCCCTTCTCATCGTGCAGAAGGCGAAGTCGATCCCTGATGTGGTACTCGCACTCCCACAGACGTGCCAATGAGCTAGGGTCTTTAGTGTCTCTGACCAAGACCGGCATTGCAAGATTGAGGAATGAGTAGGCAATGTGATGTTGTGCATGTTGCATTAAAAAGAGGAATGCATGTATATCGATCGATATATAACATTATAATTGCCTGCTAAATCTTATTCTCTATCCTATCGCTTTGCTTCTTAGCTTGACTCACTGCACATGCGCTGGTTCAGAAAGCTTGTGCCTAGAACAGGTTTTGATGAACATCAGTCAATCTTGATTGGCTGTCAAACCCAAACATTTGCATGTTCATTTTACAGCCATGTTGCCAAATACAAAAAGTAATAGGCAACTTGCCAGCATCCCACCAACGAAAAAAAATAGTTGTTGCACACCCGTGGCCACACCATTTGACCATTGCCAGGCCTTCAATTCAAAGGTCCTCTATGTGTTTCTTCAAACTGTGACCTGCCGGAGGCTGCATGGATCGATCCATGTACATTGCGCGGGGAACCATGCTATGGGCCCATGCTATGGAATTTCAAACTTGTATATAACACTGGTGTATGTGCTAACTTGCATGCATGACTCAGAAGCTGGCCTCGAAATATTTCACCATGGCAGAAAACTCTGTCCATGATCTTCGAAATGCGAAAGGATGCACAAAGTGCTTGCATGTGGCCATTAGTATCGATGAGAAATTTGTGTATATACGTGCAGGGTTCATTGAAAAGTCGCTGTGCACAGTGGTACACGTGCTATGCAAGTATGGCATCAATGATTTTGCCATTTGTCATTTGTCAGTGGCCCATCGGTCTCTCCAATGGATCCCTTGATCTGAGTTTCACGTCACAGCATGCTGGCGAAAAATGATCCCAAGATGGCCTTGCAGAAGAAGTGGGAAATCTCAACATGGGGATCACATGTTACACTTATCACATGGCCATGCATATCAAACATGCTAAAATCACAGATCAGACCCTGAGGTATGAAAACAGACCCTGTGAGGGCAGGTCCTGTTTTGGCCATAGGGCCCAAAATTTTCCATGCTTAGGAAGTTCTAGGTATATTGATTAATTATATATATATATACACTGTATTTTTTTAATGCCATTCTATACCGTGTGTGTAATGTGGTAAATAAACCCAATGATCATCCATCCCATTCACAAAAACAATGACTGCGGGTCATTTAACATAGTTTTAGCTCATCACATTGCGAACGGCCTTGGCGTTGGGCTCCGGTGGTGGTTGCAAATGGCCTCAGGAAAAAGCCGTAGCATAGCGAGAGTTTTGGGATGTGGGCTATGAATCTGCACCCATTTTATGTAGAAACAAGGCTTGGAATACCTGGGAAAATCGCATCCAATTGGTCATTGGTTGGTATATAGAAAGGTGTATATATTCTACATCATATACAGTATATATATATATATATATGTGATTGTATATGTATATATATATATATATCCATATATGTATAAGATACAGGTTACAAGTTTTGTTGAATAGCTAGAGTTGAAAATAAAAAAGGGGATATCAACAATTGCAGCGCTCACATCCAGGTGGTGAGCATCCCAAAACGACTATTTCCAAATTGTTGCCAAGTGGCAAAAACTACACTAGCAAAAACACATCAGCAAAATCATAACGGTTTTAGCTATATAACATTCTCAAACTTGGTTTTAAGTATATAACCATTCATCCACCCAGCAAAACCAATGACAATTTGCCCATCCAATGCTCATCCACAACATTGGTTACAGTATCTGAACGCAGTCTACCTCCCAGAAGTGATGGTGGATCATCATGTTTTATGCTTTTCACCATGAAAATTGCAATAAATTAGGGCATACTCCATTTGTTCGACAATCCTAAACACTTGTGGTTGGTTATGCATCCCAATCAATGAAATTTCATGAAATCCATGAACAAATTCCATTTTAATTCCCTGTAAAAAACGGTGACTAAACGGTGATTAAAAAAGGCATGTGAAACCTCCAATTTTCCCTTGGATCTCCCGGGTTTCCACACAGAAGGGCAGTGGAACCTGATGCTCCACCCTTTCCAAGCAACGAGTGACTGCGGCCTGGCATTCTGTTAAGAGCACCGGGAGAGCACCAAGCGAAACTATGGTATAACTGTGGGATAACTATGGGTATAACTATGGTTTAGGAAGGGATTGACATTTGGGACCTGTGGACGGGGTTTAAGATTAGGATGGGATTAGTCATGAACTAAGGGCATTCAGGCATTCAGGGGGGCGCTGCAGATAACGTTAGTGTACATAGATTTTTTAATGTGAGACCTACAGACCTAGAGAAACACAACGGTTTTCCCTACTTATTTTGGTACAGTTTGCATCAGCCAAACCCCATGGATTTTTGTGTCTGGCATGGCTCTTGACTTGGGCATTTCCAAACACACACACACACGCACACGCACACACACACACATATATATATATAATTATATATATATATATATATATAATACAGCTATAACAAATGGCATACCACCCACAACAGCCACTGCAATGGGAAAAACATGATAAACCATGGGAATAGGGTTCCCATATCTTGTGACAAACCCATTGACATACACAATACTATTATATGTTTTTTTTTCAGGAGTTGCTACTCTTCTCATTGACTCATGTCTTCTTATGGCTCATCCTGTTCCGTATCCGCCTCTAAGAGCATCATGATCCGAATCTCATGCGCTTTCTCCCAGGCCATGCGCTGCCCTTGAAGAATGTAGCGCTCCTCAGCAGGAGGCCGACAGAAACAATCTGGGATCCCCTCTGGTAACACTTTCAGCGAAATCAGAGGACATGAGAGGACATGAGAGGACATTAAAGTATAAACAATTGGCCAATTGGCAGTCACTGTGTGAAATTACCGGAATGTACTTGAATCAGAATTCTCACAGCACCCATATTTTTTGCAGGGAGCTTCTGTGGGAGGATTCTGTCCTCCCAACTCACGGCATCACTCCCAGCCATCAGTCTTCACGACTATAACTTTCTGGCAAACATAGGACAAAAAAACTATGGAAAACCAATGGAAAACCACCATGTTTAATGGAAAAACTCACTATAAATGGGCCATGTTCAATAGCTATGTTAAATTACCAGAGGGTAACTTTCTGTTCAAATCATTCATTATCATCCCCATCTGCATCCTCATAATCATTATTGATACCGCATTGAGAATAGTCAACATCAGCATCTGCATCCTCAGAAAAAAACATCAAACAATATTGACATGGTCATAATCACTAGTGTGACAAACCCAATAAGCAACCCCCAAAATCATCATGAATGGGTTGTATAAAACATTCCCGAATGGTAGGTTTAAATGGTTGGGTTAACCACATGAGCCGTAATAATCCTGATGTTCATGTTCATGTTCATGTTAATGTTCATCATCATCATCATCATCATCATCACCATCACTACTTTGTCCTATGATCGATAGTTATCAATTCTCACTACACGTCAATACTAATTATGACCACCTGTAAATTACAGTCAATTACCATGCTAGCCATACTAGGATGATAGTAATTTCACACTCTCAATTTCACCCAGGATTCATTTCACTACCAGGGCACCATGTCGCGCTTGGAGGGGTTGGAGATGGCCCTCTTCACCGACGCCAAGCCCACCTCGGGTGGGTGCACGGTGAGCCCCGACTTGTTCTCCTGGAAGTCTTGGGACAAGTGCTTCGTGGCCTGGACGTCGACGTGGCGAAACTTGGCATTTTTTGGGAAAACTGGGAAGATCACTCGGGAAAAACAGGGATTTAAAGGTACTACCTGAAAAAACGCATTCAATATGTGGTGATACCTGAAATTTTGGATTCAATACTTCGTATGAGGTGATACCATTATTGAGTCGTCAAAACATGCATACACGCAAGGTTTCTGCTGCTTTGCAACTACCATATGCGACAGGTCCATGATTGAAATCCATTGAATAGGTTTTAAACCAACATACAAGTGAGGGGCACCACTTTGTAGAGGACAAGATCAATGTTCAAACAAAGTAACATATTATTGTTTCTTGTTATTAGTGATATTATTGTCAATAACATTATGATTATTTACTATTATATATTGTTATTACTACTCTTAGTAGTATTATGTTTAAGTATTATGAATTGCGATTAATTATTTGCAATCGTATTAGCATTATTATTTTAATTATTATCATGACATATCATGACTCATGACCATATATTCATATATAAAATAATGGCACCAATAGTAAAACAGGTCGCAAAGCGAATGCAAGACACCCCACCTGGCGAAACACTAGATCCAACCCGCAAAAATTGGCGGAAAGGTCTTAACAAATTCCAAGCAACAAAAAAACAAAAAAACAGGAATACATAAAGAATCAAAAAAAACACATGCATATGTATATGTATATATATATATATATCTCATAAGGGATATAATGTGCATAATTTTATTCAGAATTATATATAATTATATATAATTATATAACCACATCAAATTAAATCAAGCAATCAAGCCATAGCATTGGCGGACTCCGTGAATGCCAAAGGATGGAATCAGTTTGTAACGCTTGGGGCACAACAACCCGTTGCACCTGGCACATAGCGCGACCAAAGAAGGAGGGCAACAAATTATACTCCGAGAGCATGCGAGCACGTTGCCTCAACAAGTGGGTCATTGCAGCTGCTATCCTGGAGATGATGGATGATATGGAAAATGTGTCGGAAAAAACTAGAATGAATAACATTGAATTATGTAAAAACATAGAAAACCAAAACAAACAACATATATATATATATTATATATATATAGAGAGAGAGAGAGAGTGAGAGAGAGAGAGAGAGCGCCTACAGTAGTACTCAGTAGTGGAAGAGAGAGAGCGCCTGGTGGATCAAACAGCTATCCTCCACAGTATTCACAAGCGGAGCGGCTGCAACTATTCCAAACTCTGCCTGCCCCAGTTCGTGGTTCATCCCAGTGAAATGCGGTTGTAACCCCAGGTAGCGGGTAAGTAGGGTTGGTCCACTTCAAAATAGGGCTGTACTGTAAGCCATGGGATGAGCACACCCTGCGCCCAAGAATCCCAGTGATCCAATGACATCATTCCTGGGGCCAAACCCCCACAATCCAATGACCATTAAGGAGAGATCGCCTGGCCATATCCTACGACCCAGGAAATTCGTACAAGTCAACCAGGATATATGAACAGAACTAATACGCTTGGGATGACTTCCCGTGCCAGTCGACATGTATGGTGAGGTCATTTAGCCTTCCCCCAATGTTCCCCACATCAGCCACGCAGCTGAAGATCGAAACCAAAATGCCCCCGAAGGCTGTGGAGTACCCCGCCCTTGGCGTCCATGAAGGACGAGACATGCGGATTCACCTCCCAAGCGAAACGGGACCCGAACAGGCCCCTGGATTCCGAAAAAAATGGACGGTACTGGTTCCCCATGAAGAACTCTGGGTCATATGGATCAGTGCCTGCAAGACCTCTCAAAAGACTTCTAAACCTAATAATAATACTACTACTAATAATAGCATGTTTCTTTAAAAAAGCAAGAAATAACATGTTTTGAATCAGATCCAATCACTCAAAATCACCCAACACGTTTGAAGCATTTTGACCCCCATGTCACAGCCACCTGCGACACCAGGAAACGTGTGGCCCCGAAGCAGGAGCGCAAGTAGTCCTTGGGCACCTCCGCTGTGAAGGAGCCATCCTGAGAGCTTTTTTCTGGTGGCCCCGGTGGATCCGGCGTCATTCTGCAATTACCTTCCAGGCTTCCATTGATCATGGATTGTTCATAGATGATCTAGATATATCTAGGATATTCCAGGATAACATGGTGACTTCCAGAGCTACTTGCAGAAGGCTATGAAAAACCTTTTCAAACATGTGAATTTAACCACCAAACATTCGGATTATGTTATCTGTAATGGACGACCATGTGGACTGCCATCAAAAATAAATTGAGTCATTGAGCCATTTCAACATCCTACAGCCCATATCATCTTCCACGGTCCCCTGTGCCCAACTACTGCGGATGCCTTGCAAAACACGTCTTTTGACACAGAGGAAAACATGTTCTCACCAGGTGAATTATCAGAAACGAGTGCAAATTTGAATCATTCCCGGATCAGTACACCAATTTTGCTGCTGGTTTTCCTGACGCAGCATCTTTTGCAATGAAGTCGGCAAAGTCGCCCTTGTCACAAATACATCCCTATCCCTTATATGCCTTATATCTCAGTTACCTGTCAAACAAGTAACCAACCCAAAATCACGAGGTAAAATCATCCTGGAAACCTTTGTCAGAGGTAACTGGGAAGTGCATGATACCGCCAACATATCGAAAAATAATACCCTCTGGTAATCAAATATGGTTGGCTGGAAAATCCCTGAACTAGTTTCTTAGATGGAGGCTTTAATGGGAAAATCGTCCAACTAGCCCATCAATATCCCATTAAATCCCACTTTTCATATCCCATTGAATCACCAGAAAATATCTCGTTATATGGGTATGGGTCAATACCTATAGATACATTTTTAGTGGGATGAACATCCATTTGCCAACTATTTTGGGGTTTACTAGGTACCAGGGTTTTGACCCATAACCATATCAACTCCATTAACATCAATTCCATCCATCCGCACTGCCCCACTACCCCAGGCTCCGCAAACGACTCGCCCAAGACGTTGAAGGGCGCCAGGTTTCCAGTCACTGGATCCTTGACCTAGAGGATCCACAACAACTCAAAAATATGTGGTGAAAACATCTAGAAAATCCTGGAAAATCCTGAAAAACACTGTTAGAGGAACACAGAAAAAATACAGAAATGCGATTCTGGAAACACTTTTGAACTGCATTTTTTCTTCGGTTACTATAACCCCACCTTGGTAAAGAGCTCATATGGGCCCAAAAAATTGAACAAATCCAATCCTAAACCGGGGATTCTATAGGGGGTATGGAAAATATGAGGGTGAAGGGGTTATAAGAATTAACCAACAAACACTTACAGTAGTTTTTTTCTACATGGCCTTGTCCAAACATGGGGCATACCCTCAATTTAGATGGCAGCATGTGGAACACGGTGATTGTCGACTACATCGATTTTCTCCAGATATCCCATTTGGGGGTGTGAAAACTCCTTCATTGTTTGCTTTTGCTGCGGAATATCTGATTGTCATCCAATGGGCCAATTGACCTATAGAGCCCCCAGGGAGCTTGAAAAACCGCCCCAACCAATTGGAACAATAACATCAATAACAAGAGTTCGTCTCATCACCCCGCGACAAAAATGCCATAAATTGGGTACGCCAAAATCTCAGCTAAGCCAGGGATGATGATATATCCCATGGTATGTCCAGCTATATATATATATATATACATACATACATACATACCTACCCACATATGTATGGTTGATGATGTATCTCATATTCTATGTCCAACTATACATGTTCCCAGAACCTCCCAGTTATATCCGCAAGAACACTTGTTTTCTCTGTCCAATTCAATTATTCCCATCATACTTCGATCAAATTCCCAAAATATCCAAAAATAACAAGGGAACCCAACAAAAATCCATCCCCAATTGGGGTTTTTATATTGGGTATGCCTAGAAATGGGATAATTCAAGAGAATCCCCAAATTGATGGTTGATGGCATTCGGTTTACCACATCAATCATCAATCATCATCCCACCAACTGACTGGAATGCGGATTTAAGCAACACTTATACAAATATCATGTGGATATAATGGCTATATCACCAACAGTTCGGCTAGTTTACCACTCCCAACTATTTCTCACCATCAAAGGATCCCTTGGAAAACTGCTTCAAGTTCCTTTATAGGATGTTTTTTCCAATGATATTGAATTTCATTTCCACCTTGTATCATCATATATCATATATCACTATAGAAATCCCATTCCCACCGAGGTATATCACTATAGTGTGATGTCATATATGATATGTACATATATATATATATATATAAAAGTATATCTTATATCATATATCATATAATATCATATATGTCATACATCACGATATTTCTCCATAGAAATCCCCAAGTGTTTCGACCCGACCCTCCAGCGCTGCTCCAAGGAGCCACCAAGCCCCGCGGTTTCATGACACCAATGGCCGCGCAGGAGGCCGCCACCGCCGAGGCAATGGTGACCCGTGGCGACGTCATGTGATTCAACATCACCTTTTGGACCGTGAAAACCAGGCGTTTTTCATGGGATATTTATAAAGGGATATTCTAAAGGATCTAATGGGATATAATGGACTGTATGTATCATTATTATTATTAGATATAATTATATACAATGGGATATTTAATGGGATATTTAACCAGTTAGGATGTATTTAATGGGCTATTTCATATTGATATGTTCAAGGATCTCATGGGGTATATATGTATTAGATATAACTTATTCAAATGCAATATGTTGGGACCATTTCAGGTGTATTTTACCCCGTCCAATTATTAAACACCCACCATATTGTATGGTCCCAATGATGTGGAATTTCTCTACTAAACCATGGCTTCGTTTGGGGGGTGTTTAAGTATAGTATTTAGCATGGTGAACCTTAGCTACCTGCCAAAAAAACAAACCTTAGCTGTTGAATGGGAATTAATTTTACCATTGATCGCAAAACAAGTAATAGCTCGTATCTAACCAAGGTTGACCAGTTAGGGTGTATCTAATGGCTCCTTCATGGGATACTTAAAATGACGGGACACACACACATGTATATATATATATATGTGGCATATGATGACATATGTATGGTACTCCAGGTAATTTCATGGACATGTAAGATGAAGTCATAGGATTCAACTGGCAAAAGAAATAGGGTCTTATGCGATTTAGTGGCACATATAACCGCAATGAATTATTATGGTGTGAATATAATAGTGGGACACATCCACCATTTATTGTGAATTATTATATGTTGTATGATTACATGCATGATAGTTGAACCATTGGTGATGGGACCCAACTTATGACAATTTGGGACGCGCAGTCTGAAAGACAACCATGCTGAAAGCTCCACAACCCCCAGGGTTTTTTCAAGAGGAACCCTAGAATGGCAATCTTTATGTAAAAAGGTGTCCTTTCAGAGAAAAAAAGGTGCCGGTTGTGCAAATGATTTATCATCGTCTACCTATTGTTGAATGCGCGGAAGCCTCTTTTAATTCACCAACCAAAGGCCCAACCCAATTCCGATGTTTGTTGGTGATCCAACCAGCCTGGGAATACCTCCAACCAGCCATGGCTTTGCTGTTAACCACACAAGGATATCTTCGATCTTCGAACATCTTTCCATATCCATTTCCGGCCAAACCCGAAACAAACTCTTGCAATGAGTCCCAAGTACTTGAAGGCGCATCCCACTTGAGAGGAGGGAATGACCATATTTTCACCCACCTATATTATATGTACACATATATACGTATATATATATATATACCAATACAATCCAATACATACTAATCATATTCGTATAAGAATATATTGGTATATACATTAATATTGGTATCATTAAATGGCATTAAAACTGGGATGCGCAACCTTCAGTGGCTCATCGCGGGTCAAACCCCCAATACCACTCTCAGAACCACATTTTATATATATATAGATGTATCCACTACAAAACCCTAGTTCTCTTGACCCAGCAAAAAAAACACAGGAACATCATATACACAAAAAATGTGGTTAAATATATATATATATATAAAATTATATATATATAATTTATAAATTCTATAATTACCGTTCTGCCCGTTTTTGTGTGTTTTTTTGGTACCCCTTTTTCCAAAAGTTCGGACCGAAGCAGCCGAGCCGCGCAGGCTGGCAGCTTCCGGGAGAAGTTCGAGGAGATGACGATGGTCACGGGCCGCGCCGTGCGACGGAAGGCCTCCTCGAAGGTCCAGGTGCCGAAGTAGGCCTGGGATGGGAAAAGCATGGGGAAATGTTGGGGAAAATGATGGTGAAGTTATATCAGTTACACATATTGAAAAACAATGTATATATTAGATGTATAATATAGTATATATTATATTAAATTATATGTATATATATATATATATAGTTGATATCATATGTATACTAACACCATAACACCCCCGCAAAAAAAAGGAAATATGATGAAATTATCACTGTTTCAGTGGTATTTGACATGTTTACCTTGTGTGATTGCTATATGTACTAACCGGTATATGGGTTACTTAAGTCCATCAGGATTTAACTGGATCTAGAATCCAACATCCACGTGTATGGATTTTTGTGCCGGCACTGGCCACAAGAAAGACAAAGAAGAAAACATATCGACATTTATGGGAACAACAGCATGGAACAACAAAGGAAAAAACAGAAACTATCCTTCACCACAAAACCAATAAATCTGAGAAATCCAGGGCCGCCTCCCCCCTACGACCCCATGCAGTTTGGCCTGACAAGTGTTTTCGAAATCCTCCGTAGGCACCAGCACACCCAGCTGCATGAAGTTCAAGAGTTCCTGGGCCATGGCCAACCATGGGAACTTTTGCTGATCTATGACACACTATGGTGAATAAATACGAAGGAGAAAACCATTGAATTACATGTGAGTACTACAGGTACAAGTACTACATGAAATGTTCTTGGATCAGGATCTGATTCAAATACATGCTTTCCAAGTTTGAAATATAAGAATTTTGCAAATCTTGCAGGGCACCGGATCCTACTTTCATGTACGTTCCACTTCCAGGGTCCCACCATCTGCCTGCCACCAATGAGGGAACCATCTATGAGGCGCATGTCGCTGAGGAATTTCCGGAACGAAGACATGTTTCAAGATCCTGAGAAACCAAGGCTTGCGAAGACAGGGTATGGTCTGGCCATGTCTGGCCCGGGGAAAAATTGGGTATCATTTGTTAAAGCACAAAACATGTGTTTTTTCCATTTTGAGCCCCATGTTGCGCCAATCTGTATGTTCGAGCTCCCAAATCTTGGACGATGTTCAACCCCAAACCTGGGCTTTAAATCTGTAGTTCTTATTTCTCTAAGCTATTTGCCAAAAATCAGGACAAAGTATAATAGTTCACTAACCTGACATAAGGTTTTTTTCTTACCCGTTGCTTGTCGGACCAATTTTGGGATGTTTTCCTGTACTAATGTTGACCTATGATTTGTAAATGCCCCCTGAATAAAGCTATTTTTTCACAAAATAAATAATAAATGCCCCCTAAATAAAGCTAATTTTTTTGGCCCTAAACCCAGATTTGCCCAGATGGGGCTGATTTTTTTTTCCATGCTTTATTTGAGGTGGCTTTCATGTACTAATTCATATTGCCAGCTCATTAGATCTTACCTTGATAACTTCAAATTTTCAAAAATAATGGTTGCTCTTTTCTATTCAAAACCTTTATTCAAAATTATCCAAAATCAATCCCAAATCAACTCGTCAAGGGTACCCCCCATGAGGTGCCTTGGCACTAATTAGAGTTTGACCCTGAATAAAGCTAATTGTTTTTGGCCCTAAACCCAGATTTGCCCAGATCCATGACATGAATACTAAATCAATACTAAATACATGACATGAATACGAGATCAATACTAAATCCATGACATGAATACTAAACCAATACTAAATCCATGACATGAATACGAGATCAATACTAAATCCATGACATGAATACTAAACCAATACTAAATCCATGACATGAGTACTAGATCAATACTAAATCCATGACATGAATACTAAGATCAATACTAAATCCATGACATGAATACTAGATCAATACTGAATCCATGACATGAATACTAAATCAATACTAAGTCCATGACATGAGTACTAGATCAATACTAAGTCCATGACATGAGTACTAGATCAATACTAAAACAATTGCTGGATTCCTTTTTTTTTGAAATTGCATTTTATGTATTCGTTTTCAATTGTGGTAATTTAAAACCTTTACATACAAACAAGTTTTATGGTGGCCTTAAGTCTATTTAGGGTCAGAGAGGGGGGGGGGGCTATTTATAAATCAAGGGCAGGCATTAATCATTTTTCTAGTGACGTCGCAGTGAGGTCGTTATAAATGTTATGATCTACCATATGCAGAGAGATGATTTCTGGTTTGACGTCGGCCAGTGGCGCCGTTATAATTTACCCAAATAAACTGATACTGTACGAAATGATCATATCAAGTTGGCAAACATGTATATTCCGTTCACATTCACCAACTGTGTACTCAATTACCATCTGGTAATCAAACATGGTGTGCAGGAAATTCCACCATTTATTTGGTGAATGTGTCAAATGCCATGTTTGATTGTATGTATGCGTGTATATCTATATATATATATGTGTGTGTGTGCATGCTAACATCCTAAAACTTTTAAACATAAACAATTAAATTTCACTGCTTGATTACGAGAGGGTATTCCCAATTATGAGTCAAGAAATGCCGCAAAACTCTGGAGATCTAGGACCTGGTCAGTGGCTTGGCTCGAATAAAGATTCAAAGGCTGGTGGTTTTGCCTATGGTAAGATTTCATGTGTGTATTAAGATATATTCAGTACATGTGTGTGAACATATAACTATATATATATAACTCTCTCTCTAAATATATATATATATAACTATATATATATATGTAACTATATATATATATATATCTGCTAATTCTGTATATGAATGTACATATGCTTGGTGTGCTGGCTGAACGATCATATCAAACATCACATGAATAAAAAGTCAACCAAGATCATCATTCCAATTTGGGGATGGAAAACCCAAAGCAACAACTGCGGGTAGTTTGTTCTTCAACTATCTTCATGGTCTTAAGTGGACACAGCACACTAGAAAGAGTTGAGCTTCTCTTCATCGGTGTGGATGGCCAGGAAACCAGCCACAATGGAACCACCGGACACGCCACTGACGATTTTGGGCATCAACCCCTCCTTGCCCAGTCAGTAAGATGGCGAGAGGAGACCAGTCATTTCAGAAGAGGCAATTTCCGGGCATACCCACAAAAATAAAAAACATGTGGGTTGACATCGCCAAAGGTGTTGACTTCTTAGATAGATTTCAGATAGACCCTTAATGCGAGAAACACAGTAAAGAGCAGGATAGATGCCTCTAATGTCAAATTCTCCACATCCATCACGACGTTTTCTCGCAAAAAAGATACCGCAACGACAACACACGGCATTCAGTCTATACCTATTCTGGTAAAGACTCATCCAAATCCCCCTCATCATCATCATCACCATCATCATCATCATCATCATCATCATCGTCATCGTCATCGTCATGGTCATCATCATCGTCATCGTCATCGTCATCATCATCATCATCCTCATCATCCTCATCATCCTCTTCCTCCTCTTCCTCCTATTCCTCCTCCTCTTCCTCCTCTTCCTTCTCAACATCCACCTCCTCATCCCATCAATATCTATACATACATATATATATATACATATATATACTGTATATATCTATATATATATATGCATATATAAGATATCTATATCTGTGCTTGTTTCTCTCCCCATCTCCATGCCCTTCCCTTCTCCAACGCACCTCCAGGAGGAAGCGGCAAACGCCCATATGGTGCATCGCCAGACTGCCGCCGCCACTGAGGCACAGCGCCGTGCGCCCAATGGCCTTGCGACGATCCACCAGCCAGTCCTGGGACAGGAGAAGAGTTGGGTCCAGTTGCAAAGACAATACCTCATCATTGCCTCATCATTGCCTCATCATGAAAAAATCTGAATATAACAATTATATATATATCTAGATAGAAAATAAAATAAATAAAAAGAAGAAGAATAATATATAGTAATAATATATGTAATTTATATAACGAAAAAGAGTAATATGTATGTATAAGAATGATTATTTTTATAAATATATATAGTTAATTACATATGTAATAGCATAATAGTGTACATAATGGAATTAACTATCTGAATCTATGCTTATATATATATATGTATATTCATTGCATCCGAACAGAAAAAAAACGTAACCCACTAGAACCCGGGACCCATGTATAGATATTTGATTTATAATGGGATCATCTATGCTCGTTGTTACCCACTTACGAAGTGACAATCCCCATGGTATGGGGTAGTCATTCAGTCCAGCAACCATTGAAATCATGTCTAAATATGTGAGTGAATGGGGATGTCAGAAGGTATTCAAAATATTGCATCTTCTTGTATATGAATCACCACAATACAAGGCTGAACATGCACTGAAAATCCCTTCTTCTAGACATGCAAACCTAATCCACACGTGGGCCCCTGGCCAGAGGTAAACTGAAATAAAACATGGAAATCCATGATGACTGTTCTATACTTGGGGGGTGCATCCCAGCTAGTAAGTTGTTAATAAACATGCTTTAACCCACCGATTCATAGGATATCCCCACCTAATATATAAAATCACAAAATACATAAAAAAAAATGACACCCTTGGGATCCCACGGGTAGCTATGTCAGAGGGGTTTTTCACCCAGCTGGTCACTGCTACCCGGCTCCTTGAGCGCAGGACTGGCTTCGTCTTTCCGACGCTGGCAAAGGGCCTCTAAACAGCGGCACAGCTTTTCCAAGTACCTCAGCCAAATCTGTTGCAACGTGTTGTTGAGACTTCGATTTGATGTCTCAATGGATTGGTTCACTATGTATTGAAGTCTACTTCGGAAATCTTTGTTTTTGGCCCCGAATATGGGGTTTATATGGATTTGAGGGTACACCCTTGAACCAATTTCAGGAATGCCATGATACTTCCTGATCATCGAAAAACATGATCATGCTATATAATCCAACTGAGCCGTGCTAAACACCTTGATCGATTCAAAGGTCGTAAGGATGTGCTTACGCACAGCTTTCACGTTGCTTGCGCAGCTGAGGATATTCCTTACGCGGGGATATTGGCTTACACAAGGCTTACGTGGCACTTACGCGACGGTGCCTTTGGCTTGCACGGACCCTTATGCGGCCCGGCTACTTAACAATTCACAAGGGGGTTACAGCGTGGCTCAACTGTAATATGCTGCAGAGTCGCGAGCTCCGCAACTCAACTCCACTCCAAAACCCCAAAATACTAAATTTCCCTGGGTCAATCTCCCTCATTTCCGCCTTCATTTTGTCAGTAAAACTGGTGCCCGTCGTGTCCAGCGGCTGCTCTGCGTTGGGAATCTTTGTCCACTCCACGCCGCCCGCTTGATCTACCAGGAGAGGCTCCAACTTTGCTAGGTCCTGCGAAAAATCACGGAGCTACCCATGTTGAGTTGGATAGCAAAATCATGGGAAGTCACGCATCTTGGGAATAGAATTTGGGAAAAACAATGGAAAAAACAATCTTTGAATCTATAGTGATATTAAATTTGGATTTATGACCAACAGAGGGATTCTATGGATGGCTACTCATACTCTTTGGCAATTCATCGGTCCCCCATCGAAAATCACAATGTTTAATAGTACCTTCAATAGGTGTACAAGTAATTCATGCATTGCATTTTTTCATAGCTTGGTTGCGCTACTGGAGGCTAGTAGAATGTCTAAGATGACTTCTGAAGTCTGGAAACTTATTCTTGGGGTTGTTCGTTTGAAAACCACAAAGAAGTCAACACTTAATATAGTAATCCCCCTCTAAGAAAACAAACATATCGAAACAATAATTTATCGCAATTCTATATTCTATTGGGGTTTTACTTTTCTATACTTTCTACGGGATTACTATATAGATCCGAGTCTTCGTCGCCCTGCTACCCCACAAACACGGCCTCAGCTACCCCGTCGCTCCAGAACTCCTCGGTACCTTTGGCTTCCAAGGACTTCTCCAACTCCAAATGCAAAATCTGCAAGTGCTCCTGCGCATCACATCGCATCCAGGCGGCATTTTTTGTTGGGTGATTTTTGTGGCTAGAAACATTGGGTTTTTAACATGTTTCAACCCCCATAAGTTGGGATATAAACCCTATAACATCCTCTCACTAGGCTTGCAAATTCAGCTATAGCTGGAACTGCATACCCAAGTGGCATGATTGTGTATGTTTCGTGGTTCTTAGGAGATGGTAAGCAAAATAATCCTCACCATGGAAGGAAGGCAGTTTTTATATCTTAGCCCTCTTTGAATGTAAACAACCTGGGCAATGTTCAAAACCCTTCATCATCCCACTCTACCGGTTGGTCAAGAACGGGAATCTCATGGATAATGATCGTTCCCAACCCCCTTCAACCAATCGTCATTTATCTATCATATGCAGTAGTTCCCATACGTCTGGATTGTGGCCAGCTATAGATCATTAATCAAACTCACAAAACAAAATTAAGATGCTGGACTTCATCACCAGGGGTTGAGCAACCACGTGCTGCGCATTCGGACCCCATGTTGTCGTCACAACGGGTTCCCCGAGTTCGACACCGGCCTCGCAGCTACACGCCAAGCGCGCCCCAGAAGGCCGGCGGCAGACCTGCGACTGCGAGCCGAGCTTGGAGCGAAAGTGTTGCATGGCCTGGACCAGCGGAGCAACAGTTTGGTGTGTGGCACTCATGTTTCAGCTTAGGTTTTTAGTAGTATCTCTTTCTCTCTCTGTCTCTCTCTCTCTCTCTAATACATACATATATATATTATACAATTATAATATTATAATTAGAGAGAGAGGGAGAGAGAAAGATCGATATTTCTATAGATATATTTTTGGATCTCTAACAACAACAAACAAACAGAGGCAGCTCCGGCGCTCACTGGGCTCCATCTCTTGCGCCTCCTCCGCCTTGCGATAGTCCGCATAGGTGGTGGCACGGTGCAGGTCCCGCTCAAGGCGGAAATACTTCCGCACGGACCTGGGACCCATCGGAGTTGCGCCTGAAAGGACCAGTAACCTGGCTTTAAAACGTAGAAAAAAGCTATGGAAACCCATGGTTCCCCAGGAAAAATATGGAACATGCTGGGATTTTCCATTGCTATGATAGTTTACTGAAGGGTAAAGAAAAACAACCAAGTCCCAGTAGACTCCCCACATGGTGCATTTACCGATGGAAATAATTTTCAGCAATCCAAGATCCGCTGCTGGAGGGCCAAGGGTCCTATAGGTGTAGGCTTCAAGAATAAACGAGGAAACATGGAGCATCTTTAATCATCTTTAAATCATCAAAAAAAACAAGGGAATCACACCATCTTACTCAACGTGGTGGCTAAAACACTTGGTTGCTTTAGGGACTTTAGGGATTTTGGAACATGTACGTGAATCAATGGTTTCACGTCAGCTCTCACAAAGCTCTTTCCCCCGCGTTTTGACAAGGAACTTGCTCAAACCGGCGTGCAAACATTGAGCACATAATGTGAAAATGTCCTCGATCTGAATCAAAATCGACAACAGCATCAAAAGCAGCGTGTCAATACCTCAGCTGATGTGGTGGTGCAACACCCCTTAACATCGCTTAACAACATGTGAAAGTCAATGGGTATCATCATCCAATTTGTTGGATGGAAAATCACAGAATACTTCACCACCAACCAGATGTGCGTTATCTGGTGGAGTTATATCTCTATCCCCAGGCAGATCTCCTTTGATTTTGGCTTGGCAGAACAAGCACTGCAGCATTGCAAGAGATAAAACAATTGGCAAATCTACAGGAAAACAATCCTATCGCAATAATAAATATAAATAACCCCCATATTCCCCCATATGGAACGCCAACGCAAATAAATCCCAACTACTAAACCAGGAATTATACATAGTGGTATTTAAAATTTGGAGGATGGGATTCCAACCATTCAAACAAAGGAGTACGTCGCACCCCTTATTCTGTTTGTTTGTTGACCCATTTTTTTTTGCATTGAGCACTTTTGTTTGTCTGTGCACTGGTGCTAATGCCACAGCCCAAACACAACATTAAAATCTAATGAAAAGCGGGGTGTTGGGGGTGTGCTTGGCAAAGAAGGGTTTGATTTCATCGTCCATCAGTTGTACATGATTTTTGCATGTTTTTGCTACAAATAAGTGTTAAAAAAGAAACACAGCAAACATACAAATTCAAGGCGGGCAGAATCAAATGTACATGGATGTTTGGTAAGAAGGACTTGACGAGAAGGGTTTCCATCGAAGATCTCTTCCCTTTGAAATCACTAAATTTCCCAGGACACCAACAATATGAAACTCCAATGCATCTGGAGTCACTAGCCTGGACCCCAAACGACCAACTCCGTGGACTCGGAGAGGTGCCACCTCCATCTCTGTGACGGGCCACTGATACGGAAGAGTTGGTATTGGAAGCGCGCGAAGCGCGCCAAACCCAGGACCGAGCTGGAAAACATCCAGAGACAAACCCACGGAATGATCACCTCAGATGGGATCAGGGTTGAGAAGGGAGGACCATGACAGAAGGATTACATATTTTTTTCGATTTTAAACTGAGAGTCCTAACAAAGATACGAAAAATGCTGGGTCAACACCATAATGATGATCACGACAGAATCAGCATCAGCCACTGCCTAACATCCACGAAAAAAACAGCTTGGAAGGTACTGCAATATTTAAAAACACGGTGAAACCCAAAGAAATCAAAGAATTGGTTGAAGGGACGCTGTACGGGAACCCCCTAAATGGCTTTAGGTTTTGATTGCCCTTCGACCAATCCCATTGACATAGTACCCCCACGGCCTTCGCCGATTTGTCCCCACCGTGTCCCCTGGGGAAAGAAATGGTATGATATGGTATAATTACTTACTGATTATCTACTAATTAGTTTATAAGCACCATTTCGGCTGGTGAAAATCCAAATTTGGATGGTGTTTTTTTATCGCACTAACCATAGAACCATAAACAATATATCAACGTGAATTCAACATAATTCAACTATGTTTCCGCTTCAATTTTTTTGGCAATTTTGGAGCCCGTCCCCCATTTTTTTGGCCCCAAATAAGGAGCCACCCGCATCCCACCGGCTGCCAAGTAGCGAGCTGTACAGCGTTGTACCACCCGAGGAAAGCCCAAAGTTGAGACCACAGGGCACCCAGAGCTGCGCCCTGGGATGGGATTTCCCATGGTTCCCATGGTGCAGATTTACCTATTGATGGGTCTATATAGTTATATATATATATTATATATATATATGTAAAAAATATATATATATATGATACACAATGGGCTAGAGTAAAAAGACAAATCATATATTTACCTGAATGGGAATGTATTTTTTTGGATTGGCTTCCTCTGTTTTCAGCAAAGAACATGTGGGTCGGTATGGGATGGGATTGGTATATGTAGTCAGATTTACGTATATACGCCGAACAGCACAAGCCCACACACAGGCACACATCTATACTTCAGCATCTTCGCATCGTCCAAGTCAGTTCCAGGTCAATGTCTCTCAGTTTCTGTTTTCCCAAATCTATGCAATTTCAATCTACCTTTGAATGGCATTCTCCCCATACTTAGGTGGTCAAAGGGGCCTTACACCAACTTCCACACCTCTTCAGCTGGAAGCTTCAAGCCACAGATCTGTGCCACGTTTTGTGGCTCCCATGGCTCCATAAAGTTTGCCTGGCTCCCGCCAATATAGTGAGACATTTACTTTATCTTTTTCGGGTTGAAAATTAAGTGGGATGTTTCTTACACTTCTTCTGCGTATTTGAAGGCCACCCATTTCCAGCCATCTACTCGGATGTGCATTCCAGTCCGCCAGTTGCTGATCACCACAAAAATCCCAGCTGGGGGACTTCCTAAGTAGGGGTCTTAGGTTCTTAATCTGTATCTACCTCTGATGCATATCCAATGTCCTGACTCAATGTAGATCAAGAAAATCATTCAAAACCGAATGTCTGCCACTGAATTTAGCCAATTCCCTAATGTCAAACTGGCAAAGGGTCTGCCCATTTCGTTTGGCATGTATCATATATGATTACCTAGGGAACCTTGATCCTACAAATTTGTAGGACATGAACTGAAACCCCGGTTTTTCCCACCTGCTTGGTGGGTACCTTGGGTTTTCCCCCCAAACCCCGGGATTTTCAAGAAACACTTCCCAGAAGGGCCGGAAAAACCTATTAGTTGGAATTGCACCATCCCAAGTCAGCAAAATGTCAAGTGGGGCTCAAAAGATCAAGACTATGGAAGCCTCATCGGATGGAATGATCGATGAAAGAAATCATCAGTTTTATATAGCCTTTGGATGCCCTTGGACACGTGTCGCATGGACGGGCGCGATCCTATACATAAGCTAGCGCATTGTTTACCAACAAAAATCAGGAAGCATAGTCACTGATGGCACGACTTTCCGATGCAAATATAAAATTAGGCGTGAGAAACCAATTGAGTGGGTTGTTGTAGTTCCATTGTTTGCCTTCAAATCCTTCTGACTCACAGCCCATTTGGAAGAACATCCTTAAGGTCTGTAAGGGGGAGATTATTCACCCTTCCACGAATTTCAACTTTGAACGTGAACTTACAAAGGAACTCTAACTCCACATTGTTTTCGGGATTTAGGGGTCCCAATGACAAATTCGTTTTCCATGATGGGAAATTATGTTTTTTTTGATGGTGGATTTTAGAACCCGTAGAAAAGCCGATGTAAACCGTAGAAAACCCGTCATAATCCCGGGTTTAAAAAAAAAAACTCGGGTTTTCTAACCCGTAGGAAACCCGTAGAAACGCGGAGAAAAAATATGTGTTTTAGGTTTGTTTTTGAAGGCAACTCCAATGGGCCAAACAATGCATGTTTCACTTCAGTTCTTGCAACGGTGCCGTGAAACCAGGAGATTATCATGGCTGTCAACAGGAAAAAATGGTCGATGCTTGCTTTATGTAGCTCAATGTCAATTGGCATAAGAAAAACTGGGTTTCTGGGTTTGTTGAAGTTTTTCTCTTGTGCATGAAGCATCTTACAACATTGTATGTATATATTCATCTTGAGATGTGAGAGGCATTTGGCCGAAAGGAGGTATAGGACGCTTTTGCTCAACAAAAACATCCCTCCCACGAGCTGTGTTACTGTTACGTCAGAAGCTCCTACTTAAAACATCACTATCCTTAATAGGTAAATCAACTATAAATGGGCCACGTTCAATAGCTATGTTAAATTACCAGAGGTATTTTTTACCTTCCAACGTTCTCGCCTCTACACATGCAGCCGCCAGCGTGGCGCAGTGTCGCAACGCCGAAGCCAGGGCTGGGGCATCGCCGGCGGCCTGCTGCCGGGGGGGTCCCATCAACAGGACTCTCAAGTCAAGTCATAGAACGCTATTGTTATAACCATGATAACCATATATTTACCATATATGTACCAGGTACATCCAGGTACCATATGTTTAACATATATATATATAACATATAAATAACTATATTACCTATCATATCCTTGTGATTGTTGTTTTCCGTTAACCCAACTATCTTCAACGATATTGATTTGGATGGACCAAATGACCATCTGGTTCACCACTGGGGGGAAACCCCATGGCCTGTGTCAAAGCCTCATCCACGCAGCGCTGCATGGTGGGCGA